AAAAAAAAGACCAAATATCGCCAGCGATAAATTAGGTATCCGTGGTAAAATAAAAATAAAAAGACAAAGTTTACACCATCTGCAACGGCGTCTCCTTACTGCTCGAGCCTGCCTCCGTGCTCCCATTAGACCCGCTATGCGTGATATGGTCCCACGACAGACTGCGCTCTGGCGCTGTGACGGTAGCGTCTGTCGTTTCCCGCGAGATTTCATGGTACTGTTCTTGAGAAGACGGTTCAAGGAACTCCTCGTGGCGGTAGGTTACCGTGTCTGGGTTGGAGTCGGGGTCGCTGCTGCGGCGCTGTTTGTATTCGTTTGGGTCTTCGGGAAGGCTGCTCCCAGGGGAAAATGGGCTGGGGGTATTGCGCTGTTGGTGGGAGCCACTGTTTCTGTTGAGAGCGTTGATGAAGTTCCTGTGGGTATTGTTGGCGTTGGTGTTGTCGGTTAGGGAAATTTCGGGGGCCCCCTGCTGGCGGATGATGGTGGGGGATTGAATGAGGTTGATCAGACGGTTGAGGATGGCGAACTCCATCATCACCTTGACGCTGTTGGTGATGCCGCCGTAGGCCAGCTTGATGGGCTTGTAGTTGGCGAAGTTGCAGATGAGGATGGATGCGTCGAGGAAGATCACGACGACCAGCACGGTCATCAGGCCGTAAAACATCCGCCTGCCTTCCTCGCCCTTCGCGTCCAGCAAGGACTTAAGGTTGCGTTTCGCCTCCCACATGAAAATGGCCGTGATGATCAACTCGCGGATGCAAGAAAACAAGATTCCCATCTTTTCGAACACCAAGGCTACCGTGGCTACCTTCTTCGTCCAGAACGCGGCGGCGAACAGCGCCGCTAGCGGGATATTGATGACGCAGGTGGTGGTGATGATCATCCACAGGACGAAGGTGACGACTCTACCCTTGGTGACGAGATCGAGGCGCGAGTACAGGATCAGGGCGACGCCCGTGGTCATGAAGACGTAGCCGAATGCTTGCATGACAACATTGGCCTTGGCTGAGCCGACCTGGAAGCCGATCAATGTAGCGAAGACGGAGTACCAAAGGACGCCGGTGGTTGCGCCGATCATGATCCAGAAGTATTTCCCTTGGTAGCGCTTGTAGAAAGTAAAGATCCAGAAATACAATACGACGCAGTTGTACATAGCGATGGCTAGCAAGGCCGTGATGACCAGCGTCATGCTGCGGGTTGCCCCATAGGCGCTTGTGGTGGCCATTTTAGCTCTTCATCAACATATGCCAAAATATGATGAAAACAAAAGTAATGGAGTTGTATGATCAGGTCCAGCAGACCAACCATATATATTAGGAATAGAATAGAGAGGGCGAGTCAACCAAGAAAGAAACAGATCGGTACCCCATAATGGGGACAAAGCCAGATCGATCACCCTATGCCCTCTCCAATTGACGGAGATCGGCGGGTTCTGGACCGAACAGGTTCTGTCTACCGCAATAAACATCCACCATTCACGAGTCAGTCCCTGCACGGTCTGAGATTCAGACCTTCTCCCCGGGTCGAGGCACCTAGCTGCTGGGCTGAACCGAGCCCATGGACGCTTGATGAGAAGGGAAGAGACACGGTCGAGTCGAAGTTTATCCTTTCAGGGCGTTGATTGACATGACCCAATCCGGCGCGCAAGGTGACAGGTCGTAAGGTAGTTGACAGATGAACCCCTTGAGATAATAGAAACGAATGCAGATAAGACCAAAGAAAGAGCCTACTGAACATGGTAATCCCATCTACCATGTTACTACACAAATGCCGTCTTGACATGGTGGGCAATGATGCCTGGCGGGGAGTATAGGCGCACGGCCTGCACGTAAAAATTGCATTCGAGATCCCATCTTATTGAAGGGGCATGTCTGATTGCACAGGCCATGGTAATTCAGTCAGTACCCGTGTTCTTTTTGCGGGGACCGGGTTGTCGTTTCCCATCACGGCAACGATCCAAACGAACCATGGTTTGCGGGGGGGAGAGGTGACGCTGGCCCCACCGAGACTGGAACCCTCGACATCCTGACTCGAGACCGAGAACAAAGGAAAAGGAGGCAAACCCAGAGCCAGATGCATCTATCTCGTTTTGATGGGTGTGACTGGCGTCTAGCGGGAATTTGTGGCGCTTTGGCCAACCTTGAGAACGCCTCCGTCTGCGCACAGTGATCGTTTCTTTGTTCTCGGGCCCCCCGTTATCGATTCTAAGGTTTCATGGAGCAATATGTCAATGTCAGAGGCTTTTCTACTCGTTTGATCGGTCAGAAGATTTGCGTCCACCGACTGAATTCGCCGCACATGGGGGGGGGGAGGGGTAACTTCGCGACCACTGCACGAAAACCCTAATAGCCCTCTCCCACCATTATGGAAGGTGATATCAGTACCATGGGTTAGCTGTATGGTCGATCTCGGACTACTCATGGTTTAACCATGGTGTTGGATCTAATGAGGGTAGACTTGAAAGTCTCGCCTGTCGAGGAGATCACCCCCGGGGTCGTCCAATGCAGGGACCTCGTGTAGAATGGTGCCTGCATGTGACGATCGTCAAATAGACATTGTCATATTCGAGTAGTCCAGCCATTTGTTGTCAGAAAGATATTAGCACGGCACTGCCCCTGGAGGTTATCTCGACATCCTGGTCAATTACAACAGGGTGGATATATATCAAGGTTGATATTCGATAGACTTAGGGACAGAAAAATACCCATTTAACCAGCTGAGAGGAAAATAGAAAAGGAGAGAAATGTGTTTATACAAAGAAAGGTATGCAGTGGTGATGGCTGTTGATGTAGTTGACGTTGAAGGAGAAAGACAGTCAGGTGGTCTGTGCGTGACGGCTGACAGCTTCTCTTCTTCTCCCTTGTCTCAACTCTGCGTCTCCACATCTTCAACCTCATCTTCTTCTTTCTACCTGTCACCCTCACTCTCGTTTTCCCAACCTTGTCTCGATCGACACCTTCCCCTCCTTTCTTTTCATTGATTTAAGTTTTCGCTTTTCCGTTTTTCACTTCCCTTTGTCTCACAAATAATGTCGCCCGTGGGACTCCGATGAGATCCTGATCAAGCCACCGTCGCCATGGTCTCCCTATGGCCCTTCAAGGTCCGTCGGCGAGAGATCGCACCGATCGCCCGTTTGCAGTGTACTGACCTCTCCTCAGGGTGAAGACAACTCCCCCGCCTTTTTCGAAAAGACTCTCGCTAGTCTCTCCTCCAAGATTACCCAGTCCACCACCCGTCTGGACACAACCCGCCAACATGCCCGCCGCTTCAAAGCTCTTTGGACCCTCTACACCACATTCGCCTACCTTCTCTACTCCATCATCTTAGCTCTAGTCCTAGGCTGGCAGAACTGGGGTGTCGCCGAATATGCCGCCATTGCCGGGGGTCCCGTTGTGTACGTCTTTCCCCACCCACAGTTCAACATCCCCCTTTGTACCCCCTTTCGTACTGACCGGTGTAACCAACAGGATCTACGCTGTTCGCGCCCTCGCCACCCGCTTCTACGACTTCCGAATCAGCAAAACCCAACGCTACCTGGATGAGCTTCAAAAGCAACGCGACGAGACTATCGAAAAACTCAAAGCCGCCACAAAATATAATTCCACGCAGCAGCTCCTCGAGAAGTACGCCGGCGATTCTCCGAGGCAGCAACCACGCCCAAAAAGCAGTGACGACAGCCATAAGCCCTCTCCCAAGCAGAGATCTCAACAACAGCAACCCCCGGTTGAGCGCACCGGGATTCCCCCGCCACCAACGGCTAACATTCGCCGCCCCTCACCGCCGGGCCCGTCCACTCCTCAACAGCAACAATCCCTCCCTCCACAGCAGATACCGTCGCCGAATGTCCCTCCTCCGCAGCCTTCACCAGCCTTCGATGATCCAGGCTTCGCACCCAACGCCTTCCCCAGTGCCCCGCAATACGTCGAACAGTCGCACTGGTACGACCGCCTCCTCGACGTGCTACTCGGCGAAGACGAAACGCAACCCAAGAACCGCACGGTGCTGATCTGCAGCACGTGCCGACTGGTCAACGGACAGGCGCCGCCGGGCGTGAAATCGTTGGAGGAGCTAGGCCGCTGGCGATGCTGCGGCTGCGGGGCGTGGAACGCTGAGAAGAGCGAAGCCAGTAAAGTTCTGGCTGGGATCAAAGATCAGCACCAGGAGGCTGCCGAGCCGGCGTGGGAGCCTGTCTCTAAAACCGATGCGGCATCAGTAGGAGATGGCACGGACGATGGGGTTATGGTGGCGAGCAGTGAGGACGATCTGGCGGAGTTTCGGGGGTCGGACGCAGAGGCTGACCAGGAGGAAGAGGAGAAACCGGAGCCGAGTGTGAAGGGGAAGCGTGGACGGGGTAAAAAGAAGGGCTAGTGGATGGTTTACGCAACTATGATTTGTAGTATCCACATACTCTATTCACTTTTATCTTGCATGGCGGTGTTTGTTTATAGATAGCCATATGATCCCTGTGCCATAGTACTCTAATCACTCGAACTACATATACTCTGATATTCATCACCAGGATCTGTACGTCCTCAAATGTTTACCTATCTCGTAGATATATATAACACCTAAAGCAACCCCCTCCACTTCTCAACCACCAATGAATCCAAGCAATCCACCTACAACCCCATCTTCACATCCAAAACAGCATCACCCTCCCCCATAACCACATCCTTCCCACTCCCACTCCCACTCCCACCCCCAACCCTCTCCATCTCCACCTCCCTCCGCTCCAACAACCCCACAACCTCCAACGCAGCCCTAACCTCCGCCTCCTCCCCAGCCGCACACCCCTCCACAACAACCACCTCCTCCATCTCCCCCTCCCCATTCAAACCCAGCCCCAACCTCCCCACACACCTATAACTCGCCTCACCCCCCACCCCCTCCGCCACCACCCTCCTCAACTCAAACTCCACCGCACTCCTCGCCAACCTCATCGCCACATTCTTCGGATGCACAACCTCCACCCCCTCCCTCAACACCCTCCGCAAATAATCCATCAGCCCCAGCCGCTCCGCAAACCGCTCGCACGCGCTCAGCGCGCCGCCCGAGTCGACGAATATCGCGCCCAGGATGCTCTCGACGATGTCGGAGAAGAATTTGTCGGCGTTGAGCTGGGACAGCGCCAGCCACGGGTAGCTGGGGGAGGAGTGGAGGGCGGTGGAGATCTCGGTGTGGAGGGTGCTGTGGCGGGTGAGGGCTGCTTCGCGGGCGGCTTTTATGGCGAAGCTTTGGGAGCGCATGAAGTGCCAGAGGGAGAGGCTGGTGCTTTGTGTGTGGACGGTTATGTTTGGGGTTGTTGTTTTGGGGGACGAGGCGGAGGTGGGGGAAGGGGGGGAGATTTTGGCGGTTGTGACATCTTGTGTGTAGGAGAATTCCATGCAGAGGAAGGCGAGGAGGTGAGCGTTGACGAGGGCGTGTTTGATCTTCGTCATTTCGCCCTGGGGGATTTCCGCGGGATGGGCTATTATGGCGCCGACGATGATCATGTCTAGGACGGCGTCACCGAGGAATTCGAGGCGCTGGTAGGATTGGGTGGAGGAGTCGTATTGGCAGGAGGGGTGGGTGAGGGCTTCGATGAGGAGGGAGGGGTTGGTGAAGGAGTAGCCGATGTGGTGCTCGAGGAGGGGGTCGACGGTGTACGCGTCGGGCTTTGGTGGGAGGTGCAGCGGGACGGCGGGGATGTCGAGCTTTTCGACGTCGACGCTGGGCAGGAAGCGCTGGAGGCAGGCGTGGGCTTTGGAGAAGCCGCCGTCGAGGTAGGCTGCGCCGATGAGGGCTTCGACGACGTCGGCGAGGACTTTGGTGGAGAGCTTTCGCTGGGTTGGGGTTGTGGATTGGAGCTTTGAGGAGATGAGGGGGAAGATCCATTTGCGGGGGGTGAACATCTTGCTGATGATGAAGGCGTCGAGGCCTGTTTCTAGTGCTGCTTGGGCGAGACGGGAGTTTTGCACGATTGCGTCGCGGCCTTGGGAGAGGTAGCCTTCGTGCCAGTTGCCGTGCTCGTAGAAGAGCTGGCAGGAGGCTGTGAATTTGAGGACCGAGTCCCCGATGAACTCGTAGCGTTGGTAGTTTGTTAGGGACTGTGCGGATGGGGTCGTGATGGCTGTGATGACGTGCTGGGTGTCGCTGAAGTTGATGTCTCGTAGGATGGTTTCACATAGTTTGGTCGCGACCAGCTTCGCTTCGAGTGTACTGAGGACGGTAGAAACGAACAGGCCGAAGAAAGACTGCGAATACGGAAGCCGGTCTATTGTGCATCGGTCCGCGGATACCAGGCGCACCTTTCGGGGACTTTCCAGCACTGTTTCTGCAGCTTTTTCAACTGGCTCGTTAGTAGCCAGAGTTTGCTGCCTCAGGAAGTTTTTCCGCCGGGGAAGGGCATCGCATTCCAATTCTGGAGTCTCCCCTTTGCGTGCGCGCCATCTTTTGAACCGCAGCGGTTCGTTGTAACACGTCAGGTCCCGAACAACACCGACCTTATCGAATTCGTGTTGTCGGGTGTATACGTCCATAGCAGGCTCAGTTCCCTGGTTCTCCAAAAGCCACTTTCCCAGTTCCTGTCGCGGCAAGTCGGGGCCGAAAAGGGCTATGTAGTCCCGTCCGGGAGCGAGCTGCTGGCGGGATATTGCCTGCACATACAACGCAGTGATATTCTCCATCTCATCCTTGTCATCGGCTGTCAGTGCCGGCACCCGCTTGGTGTCCTCAAACAGCAACTCATACGTAGTATCACTGTCCCAGAACAGGGTCACTGGATCAAGTTCTGGTAGCATTGTAGGCACAGTTAAAGTCATAGACAACTTATGGTCGCCACTCTCCCTCGATCGCACGACTATCCGAGTCTGATGGACATCAGGCGACGACCACGAGTGAGCCCAGTCCGCCCATGGATCGTACTGCTCCAAGCTATCTATCATGGAAGGCAAGTCAGAACGATCACCCATTCCAAGCTCTTTCTTGTCCGTCAGTGGCAGCAGATTATCGTTGACGAGCCCAAAGTGGTAGAGGGCCTTATAGGTTTGGAAAGCCGCTTCTTTCATCGCGGCGCGCTCTGTCTGCCACCACCTCTCACCGGAAGTGCGGCGCACATGCGGATGCACACAAGTCGGTAAGGTGACTGTTCCTTTCAAGAATCCCGCACCGTTGGCCTCGTAAGAGAACTCCGGGATGTTGTCAACGTACGCCTGTTGTGGGAGGACGGCGCAGAAGTGGTACAGGTGAGACACGGCCATGTCTGCAGTCAGCAAGGCGCTGTAATTTCGTCAGTGTACTTCTGTAAATTACGGCGGAATCTCATCTTACCCAGTAGATTGAACCTCAAACCTCTCCTTCACAACCTCAAGCATATTCTCCAACTCCAACGCCTCCTGCGACTTTCTCTGCTCATCCTGATACGCCTCGATCATAGCCTTTTCAAGCACCTGCCACTTAAGCAGATCCGCAGACTCATCATCCACAGGGAGCATAATAACATATGTAGACTCCTTCCGCCGCGCACGACCACGCCGCTGCACAAACGACTTCAAGTTCGGCGGCTTGTCAAAGCACACCACCACGCTGCACGCACTAACATCGATGCCTTCTTCCAGGACATCCGTGCCCACAATGAGGTTCTTGGTGCCGCTCTGGAATTCGTCCAGTGTACTGCGCTGCATCTGAGCACTGAGAAATTCTCCCAGGATATCTTTGCGGCTGCCGCCGCCGGACCAGCCGACGTAGGCAGCACAGCGGAAGTGGTCTCTCGTTCGAGGATGGATAGATAACAGATGCGCGATCACGCTGACCGTTACCCGTTGCTTCACGAAGATGATCCCCGAGAAGTCTTCGCCTTTGGCGCTATCCAAAAAGTCCATTAGGGCTTGGAATTTGGCCGAGACTGGGAAATCATCCGTATTTATATCCGGGACGGGAACTCGCGCCATCAGCTCGACCAGGTAGGCTTTTTCCTCGTCCGTCCAGTCTAGTGCTAGACTTGCGTCGCCGACCCTGGCCGTCAGCTGCTCGATTGACGCGTAGATGAAGTAATTGGCGGCCCATTCTCCGAGCTCTTCGTAGATGTGGCGACTTTTCTCGACGAATCTCCTCAGCTGTTCGGTGCAGTACGTTTTCCGTTTTAGCAGCACCTTCTGCAGTGCTTGTCCTTCGAGCGGGCTCTGACGCAGCTTCTTGACATACGGATCGTTCTCGATATCCAGGGTTTCCCAGGCGCTAATAACGCCCTGCAGGGTCTCGCTCCGGATGCCAAGCTCCGGTTCACTGAATGGATGGTACCAGACTGGTTGGAGCTGGGGCCGGTGGACATGATTGAGTAATTCGAGCCGGTGGGTGCGAGGTGTTTTGCAGACGGAGTCGAGGTTCGATTCAATCAATCTGTTGACAGTCAACTCCGATACATTGAAAAGCGGTGATATTTCATTAGGGCAAAGACGAGAAAATGAATATGAACAACCCAACTTACAGCAACTCATAATGACTAGACTTCTTCACCGGACTAGCCGTCAGGCCTAAAATCCGCGGAACAGCATCTCTGCCCAGCTTCGCCAAGGCAGGATGGTAAAAATCCTGCATGATCTTATTTGCCGGATGGCGCCGCATACAATGGTGGGCTATGTCAATCAGCAACATTTCCCAACCTTGTCACAAAAGAAACCAAGAAATTTCAGAAAACAGGAGGGAGGGAGACGTAGCGTCTCAAAATAAACCCTAGAAGATCGTAACACACCTTCATCAAAAACAATCAACCCCAACTGCGCAATCCTCACAAAGCCATGGCTCATCGCATCAGCCAGCACAGCATGTGTGGAAACAACGACCTGCATATCATTGAGGACCGCATCCCAAATAGCCTGTTCAGTCCAGCGCTCGACCTTGTCCAAGCTAGTGAGGGTGCGCGCTCGCACAGCGGGTAAATTCTCCGCGATGACGCGATGCTGTTGGAGACAGAGCGCAACAGTAGGTGCCAGGAACCATATCAACTATGGTGTGATAGGGGGTTGGTTAGCTAGCTATAGTTATATCTAAGATTGAACTTAGGCTGGGGTATGTATCAGTCAGGCTAGCTAGTTTTACCTTTTGCGGGTTGCAGCTTTCGAGTTCGCGGGTGATGCGTAGGAGGGCTCTGTAGTATCATTGTGTTTAGCAATCAAGATATATCATATTATTTGTATAGTCTTGGTGGGATTCAGAAAGCCGTTGGATCATAAGGTAGGCGACTATGACATTAAGTGACTAGAGAAGTGTGGGGTAGGTGGGGCTAGCAATATATTCATTGAAATGTGGGCGCGTACACATGTGTCTTTCCACTGCCCGTATCCATCTAACACTGTCTGTCAGCTTGTCTATCATCAAAAAGAGAGCTGAGATATAAACCCACCGCAACGATGATATTGCCCTTCATACTCTCCTCCAACATCTCAAGCTGGTAACTCCGGGGTTTGTAGAGGGGCGCTGCAGAAGGGCTAGCGGGGATGGAGATGGGTGAAGAAGCCATTCTGCGGTGCAGCTGCCACTCTATGGCACACACAAACACACACTCTACTAGTATTGTAATATGTTATCTCTGTCGCTAGGGACAGACTTCATGGGTAGGAGAAATGAGGGTGATGGAGAAGAGAGAAGTGGGAGTGTTGTTTGTTTGTGTGGGGTAACTAGAGAGAGAGAGAGCTGCTTATCGGATTAGCTCTTATCATCACCGCCTTTGTTGGCTCTGGTGGATAATGAAAGGGTGGAGATTAATGCTTCTGGGTTGTCTATTCACTGTGCTTGGCTGGTCTTTGTGCTAAGACTGCAGGTCTTGTGCTGCAGATCATGTCCAATCTTGAATCCACAGTACGTACAAAGTACTCCGTAGCACATTGACTTATACTGATTCGGTCAACGAGTGGATCTTGGTTCATCAGGCACGTGGGATTGACATGGGAGATCCCGCTATAATATGCAAAAAATCCAATCCATAGGATTCTCCTTGTTCTACACAGATAGATCAATGGGTAGAAGATGGATGATAGATTATGAACATGCAAATCGCAATAACAACAAGCATATGCCAGGGACTCAAAAGTTCGAATGAACAACTCCCATACTAAGTAAATGACTAGGTACTACTCCGGCCCAAATATCAGAAACGAAGCGTAAGAAGAAAACATCCGAGCTATTAAAAGACAGCCACCGTGGTTTCCCATCTGTATCTAAGCTTCAAAAGGCAAAGCAAAAGTGGCATTTTCAAATCCGGACCACAAAAGCCAAACACCGCTCCCCTCCGAGGGCCGGAATCAAAAACCGAAAAGCAATCGCGCCATACACCGGGATTGAGATACACGAAAGAAATAAGGTAGAAGAAAAAAAAATAATAAATGATAAAAGCGGAATCAGAGCATAGGCCAGCAAGAACGAGCATGAGCGTGATTAAGATCAGTACAGGTGAGATGAGTCGTCTCATGATACGACCGGCAAGCCAGACGGGGGCTCAGTCTTCGACACGTCCGGGTCAGTTTGATTCTCGTCGTTCCGCGTGCGACGAGCGCCGGGGAAGTTATGGCCCATAAAGTTCGCCTCTTCGTTGGGGTGCTTCCGCATGCCGAGGCCCGCGACCGCGATGCGGTTCAACGAGTTCATGGCGTCGTTCGGGCCGCCCGTCTGGTTCGGAGGCGGGTTTTGCTGGGCGTTCGGCGGGGGCGCCGGAGCGCCGGGAGCACCGCCATGCGCGTTGCCCGCGGGGGGCATGGGCATGTCCGCGCGGGACTGACTCAAGTCGATATTGGCCGGCAGGTCGGGAACTTCACCCTGGGACTCCAGTAACCGAGACTGCAGGTTGATGATGTACTCGCGCAGCTGGTAGTTCTCATTCTGCAGGCCTTTCACCTGGTCGGACATGCCGTCAAACCCCTTGACCTGCTCCTCCAATTTCCGGATGTAGCTTTCCTTGCGTTGACGGAACGCCCGCTGCGTGGATCAGTCAGCCATGAAGCACCTAGGAGAGGAAAGAGGGTGGGGGGTAGGTGCGTACCTGCGCCGCTCGGTTCTGGGCCGCCCGCTTGGAAGTCGACAACGGTCGCTTGCCATATGTCTTGGGCGATTCGGGACCCCCCACGGATTCCGGCTGGGGAGGGGTCTGAGGGGGTCCAGCGAGCATGGTCGCTCCCGAGATGGCGGGGTCGATGTTGTTTTGATCGCGAGGGCTGGCCGCGTTAGGCTGCATGTGCGGCGGCGGTTGGGCTTGGGGTTGCGGTCGCGCCTGCTGAGGGTGGGACAGGTGCTGATGAGCAGCTAGGAGCTGATCATGGAGCACTATACGGGTGTCGCGTTAGCTTTTTTGATTTTCCCCAGGGTTGACCAGGAGCCGAGGCCGGTCAGCGTCGACGGAGAGTGGCTCCGCTGCGACGCGTTCTCCGTCTCTCATGGCCGACAACACGGCCAGGAAGGATCTTATCACGTACCCTGATCCGCATGGTCCTAGAGAGTAAACAATCAGCATCGACCTTCTTTCCACGGCTGAGACCCATCCGTTCGACGCGACCGGAGCTCGGCGGGTCCGGAGCACGATCGCGACCGACGGGGAGTTATTTTCCCACGTCACGTCACCGTTCGCCACCCCCGGAGTGGACATCGCGATGGATCGCGACGGTATACAGAGCTACATCTCTCCGGGGTGGGCAGGGCGATCTGATGACAAACCGTGAGGAGAAGCAGTTGCTTACCTGAGCAGAAGTTTGCATGCTTGGATGCGGCGCCGGAGCTAGTGTAGGCTGCATCGAGAGGTATGGACAATCACGTAGAAGACGCGCCCGAGACACGAATCACCACCAATTCACGCCGAGAAAGGCCGGAATCAGTCGGGGAAACTCAGAAAAAAAGGAGAATATCGAGGAGAAGACAGCAAGGGATCCAATACTGGAGGGGACTCTCGATTGATAGACCAGGACGAGCGATGAGGTAAGCAGATAGAGGGAAGTTAGCTGCGTGAGTACTAAGCAGACTAAGGATTGTTATGAAGATGACTGGGTTAGGGTGGTGATCTCGTAAGCAGGAGAGGATTTTTGGGGGGAAGGAGGATTAGTTAAAATATCAGTCAGAAAAAGAGAAAGAGAGGAGGGAGAAGAGCGAGAGGGAAACCGGGTGGGAAAAAAGTGGGCGAAGGGAATGTGGTAACAGTGGCTGAACCGTCCATGGAAAACGGAAGTCGAAATCGGTGACCGACATTGCCGGTACTTACATTCCAGTCATCATTCTGACCATCTCAAATCACCTTTGGTCTCTGATATTTGTGTCTGTATCTTATATTCATGCTATTATTATTCCTATTTTTCAACTTTATTATTTGACTGATGGATAAAAATAGCCATGATATAGACAACTACATCTGTTATGTAAGTGTATGGAAATATAATACCAGTAATCATGATAACATACGATGACGGAAAGATGACTGATCCACATCGGTGCTGAGTCATCCCACCTCATCTTCCACGTCTTTCCGGTCCAAGCGTCAACCCCTCACCTCGGCTGCCATCCGTCTCCAATCATTCCATTCTTTCCATGGAATCAATGACAGTGGAAAACATGATGGTTCACCGGTCATCCCATGACTTACTCCATCTACAGGGACAGCTCTGTAAATAACAGTATGCAGCCAAGATGGATACAGCTCTTCCGGCTTCCGGAATTGGATGGTGACATAACGTCTGACTAAGAGTGGGTCTGAGTCAGCTGTGTCTGGCTCGGGTTGCAACCTCAGGCAACATTGTTGATGGCGCAGTCTTATTAGGGTTCGCTGCCTTATATCCATTTGATGGAGAGGTATACATAACTTTATGCGAAATATAGGAAAAGTAATCAGCCGAAGGAGGAATCTTTAAGAAAGAAATAATATAAAGAGTCTACTTTATATAGGTAAGCCAGCTAATATGCCTGGAGTATCAGACAACCATGTTGGCTGCATGGATATGGAATTTCTAAAGTTTCAGAATTCCATCTCTAGATGATTCAGTAGTCTTCAGGAGGAAAAACTTTGTCTGTATCGTAAAGATCATATATGTGCAGAGTACTTCATGTTAACATCCATACCAAGCCACATGTTAGGTGATAAAGTAACTTTATCTTCAAAAGAAATTTAGGATTTCACAATTAATTTAGCATGTCTTCTCCAGTGATTGATTATATCTTCAGAAATAATTCTAGGTGATCAGATTCTTCTATCTCAAGAGGTAAGTTAAGTTATTCTTGTTAAATGGCTCTCATATTCACTTCTCACATATTCACTGATGTTCATACTCTTCATCCGTTCATTCTCTTTTCTTCTCCTCTATCCTTTTCTCTTCCTTTCTTCTCCTCCATTCTGTACTCTCTTCATCTGGTCTATCTTTTTCTTGCTTCTCGTCCTATACCTAAGGTCTCTTCATCATACATATTGTGACTTGGCTTTACCTCTCAAAACCTAAGAAACCTGTGCCTACTTGGTCAACATATCAACAATCTCATACCATGGATCTGATGCTGATACTGATGCTGAAGTGAAAATGCCTCCAGCCAGAGGCGCTGACGAATCGTGGGGTATCATGAACGACCTACCCTCAGACTATGTGCGCATGCATTACCATAGCATCTCCAACTTGAGAATGGTCGTCAACAACGTGCGTGATATCCTGGAGAGAGATGGAAGTGGAAATCAATACATCCTCATTCTTGGACTGCCGGAAAGAATGCGCAAGCGGCTTCTGGACGAAGATAATCTCATCGGTGTCAGTGTTCGACTGGAGTTGGATGGTACTTCTGCCGTTGTCAAGATTCCTACAGCTGAGCATGAAGCATGCACAACTGAGCTCATGTACGAAATTCGAGCGATTTGCTCCAACATGGGCATTCCCCCCTTCGATGTCATGATGGGAGGAGCCACGACCCACAAGATGCCGGGTGGACAGCGTGCAAAGCAGCCAGATCAATGTTTGTGGCCTGCCGACCGACAGCCCCTTGCAGGTAGACCCCATGGTTGGCCGACTGTGGCGATTGAGACCGGGGTCGCCGAGTCTCTTGCGCGCCTCCAGCAAGATGCTCGCTGGTGGTTTGAGAATTCTCTGGGAGCAACCCGCATTGTCTTGGTCATGAGTATCAACCGAACCGGTCACAGAATCATCATCCAAAAATGGCAACTAGCACCTCCTAGCACTCCATCACCGCTCACAAGATTGAGGATTGACCAAATACGTACGCGGCCGCCTCCAAGGGTCCAGCAGGCAGCCAACCTCCAGCAGCCCTATGTAGCCCAAGAAATCGAGATCAGTCCTACGGGGGTTTTGGGCGCCCCGCTTGTTTTGGATTTCCGTGCGGTGCTGGACCGTCTGCCGAGTGGAGAGGAAGCTGATATTGTGATCCCGGAGGATGTCTTGGTGCGGTGTACCCGTTCGGTTTGACTCCAGAGAGAATGAGGGCGGGGGGGTGGTCTAGCTCAGTTCTATTCGATGTAGATTGATACTACTCCATAATGAATTACGAAGTATATAAAACTTGCCCACAGTGTAACATCTACATGATTATTCATACACAATCTATATTGTAAAGGATGCACGCAATCTCGTTTCTATAACTAAACCGAAAAGTTATATCACTGCCTCTTCTTCTCATGCGACGACAGCGCCTGGATCATCGACTCGCCCACCTGCGCAGACTCGCGCCACCCCCTCTGACGCATCCAGAAGCGCTCCGCCGAGTCCATCCCATGGCGGGACCACCGACGCGCATCGTCCTCCAGCGATTTGCGCGTGATCTCCGGAATTTCGCCCGTCTCGTCTGGCTGGGGAGCAGACTGCTCTTCCTCGTCGTCGCTGCTCCGGGCGGCGATGGTGGAATCTAGGTACTTCTTGCGCAGCAAGTAGCAGTCTGTGCGCTCCTGGCGGACGTTGGGCGGGTCCATCTTGGAGAGGGTGGCGCTGACGGCGTAGCGCACCATGAGGTACAGGTGCTCGGAGAAGAAGATGGTGAGCAGGAGGGCCCAGCCTGTGATGGCGGTGGGCGCACCGTTCGGCCGGACGTTGAACATGTAGACTAGGGCGGAGCTGGTGATGCTGCCTGTCCAGGAGAGAAATCCGAGGCTGTCGAGCCAGGGCCCGATGGTGTCAGCGCGCTGGGGCGTGGGACGCTTGCATTCGACGCAGATCTTGAAGAAGTCGGAGCGCAGCTCGATCCAGTTGTTTACGAGGAATGACACGGGTACGAGGGGCCATGTGGTCGAGAAGAGGGCTAGGTAGCCGAACTGGATGCACATCTCGCGAAGGTCGTCCGTCACGTCGTAGTCTTCCAGTTCTGCCTCATTGCGGACGCGCTTGAGGAACTCCACCTCGTCCTTGTGGTCGTTAAATGTGATTGGTGGGGCTTTCTTCTCATCGGACTGCTCGCCCGCGCCGGCCTGCGCTAGCTTTCTGCGGTTGTACGCCTTGTATTCGCGCATCAGGCGCTGCTTGAGAATCGGCACGATCGTCTCCATGGCAAAGTTGACTGCCTGCGCCGTGACAGTGAAGTAGATGACCTGCTTGCGCAGACGGTCCGGGTCGATGCTGAAGTCGGTGCGCGCCGTCGTGGCATGCTCCTTAGAAACGAAGGGGCGGACGGTCAGGTGGAAGACATCGAGGTATGGTACGATAAGGCTGGCGAATGGGACGTAGACAAAGGCCGTCAAGAACACGGGCAGGTACGAGGTGATGAAGTTGATAACAAAGGTCTTTTGCGTCATGGCCACATCGTACGCAGCCTGAGTCTCGTAGTTTTCGTAGTCGTTGAGTCTGGTCGCGACGGACAGGAGAACCGCACTCATGGTGGGAATGAGGGCAGACAATAGAATGGTGGGAATGAAGACCTAAACAATTAGTCCCTGCAATGATATTATACAATGTGTGACTCACCAGGTAGGTCTTGAGTGGCCCGTTGTAAACCTCCGAGATGAAGATCTCGATCGCAAAACAAGTCGCAATGATAAGCCCCAAGGCTGCCGTGACTAGTACCGCAAAAGGCACCTGGAGAAGCTGTCGACACGTCCGCTTCACCGTGGGGAAAGTCCCCCGTGTCTCACCCGTGCTTGCATCGTAGATCTCCTTTTCAGGTTTGAATTCGCGTCTCTTCTCACGAACGGCGGAAACCCCTTTTGTCTGCCAGCGACAGCTGAGATCCTCCTCCTGGCGCTTCCAATACTCGATGAATATAATGCACCACAAAGCATTGACGACCGTGTATATAATCGAAAACGACCCCAGCAGCAACCAGCACGAGAATCCAAAGGCCGCGGGAAAGAGGAGGAACCTAAAGTAGCATTGCAAGAAAGAAAAGTAGAATCCGACCTGTAGATTTGTTAGTGTCCGGTCGTTAACCACGAGTCTCGTTCACATACGCTCTCGCCGAATGCATCGCGAATATAATCTATGTCCTCCGTAGACAGGAAGGTTTTGCTGTTGAATGCCCGCATGCACTGCTTGTTGGCCTCGTCGTCATGCAGGGGGAAAATCGCCTTGACGTTCTTCCATTCGCCATACTTCATCGTGATCCCAGCACCACCGGCATCTTTGGGCACCGTTATCATATGGTATATCACGCGCAAGCGCTCCCCCTCGGTTTGCGGCTCAGCGGACTCCTCGGGCTCGGGCTCGGTGTTACGGACGCCATGCAACCAATCACGAATTCTACCGCAAAGAAAAACCGTTAGACAATAGCCCAGGAAGGTCACTTTACATATGATCGTACTTACCGGGACTGGTAGATCGCTCGTTTCAGACGGTGTTTCTTGGCCGCGCGGACAAAAACCAGCAACGACTCCTCATCGCCCTGGCGGACTTCCGACTGAAGTCCTACTTCGGACAGACTCCGCAGCAGCAATTCAAACTGTTGAGACGCCTGGGAGATGTCTGGAGAGGTTTAGGTATCTGCGTGGCTCGTCCAAGTGCTGAGGGAACCTACCCGTGTCTGCGAAACTATATTGGATGACGTAGTCCACATGATTGTTGTGTTCAGCGCTGATTTGCGCGGAGGTGGCCATTTGGCTGAAAGGGTGGAATTCTACAGTAATCCCATGAACCGACGAAGAAGAATGATGTTGAAATAGGGAGAAGGAGGTCGAATGAGAGTAAGGGGCAAGAGAATGTCAAGAAACGGGATGATTTTCTGGACTTCGGCGCGCTTGGACCAACTCGGACGGCAATGACGACAAGTCTCACCGCCAGACTCCGATCATTTGCCGATCCCAGATCTGGACAATACAGCAATGTAGCCATGTGGATCAGAATCAAAATGTAGGAATTGATATCCTGTTTATATCTCCACAATGCATATGCATGCCCACATCATGCAGTACGTAGTAAACGCCGATTGACTCGGTTCCCATGATGACATCATATCAAGCCTCTGTTTACCATTGCAACAACCAGATTGGAAGAAACCATTTATCTTGGCTCTCGTGTTTATGTATAGTTTCTCTTCGATTTTGAACATGGAACAGCATCATTCTCAAAATTCCAGGCCAAAACAGCTGGTTATCTGACCCTAGATGCGGTAATACTATCTACTGACTTGTAATTGTTACTGGACAAAGTCGACGTCATTCCATAACAACTGTGAACCACTTCAATGTTGCCAGGATTGACCATACCGATAAGTGGAAGTACCTGGAACGGCTAACATTTGAGCTCTCATAGATAGCAGTACAGTATCTGTTTAGGGCAAGCCCAGAACTATACTAGCCAGCAGTCGAACACATCGCAAGTTGGGAGCACATCCGAGCCGTGTGATCATATTTATAGAGGACGCTAAAGATGTTTTGGATCATTTCCGTCCTTCTTTTTTCTGTTATGTCTCTAGAAGAGTCGCAATCATGGTTATGGTCAGTTTTCGGAAATGTGGACTATCGTCTTGGCGTCTTGAGCGCCGACGACGGACCCCCTAGATGGAAGATTGAATGTTGGCAATCTAGGGCTACATGCAATAATAAATTTCTCTCATTGTCAATTTCAATTGAACAACCCGTGTTCAAAATGTGCAAGGTTGGTTCTTGAGTGCTGGTCATCTTCCCAGACCATCATCCTATGTCTGGATTCCAGCTATCTACCGCTTCAGCTAATAAGAACCATTCCAACCCTCGGGATAGGGCACTATATCGCAATCTTTACAGCTGAGATGGCACGCGAAAGCTCCCAGATGGTCATCTTTCCCCCAAAATAAGATTACCAGGGTTGTAGAGAGGTGTATCAAGTAGAGACTAGCATTTCATCACACTATATCTACCGACTGACATACTAATCCAGTCATATCACTAAGCGCAGTGTCATTGCGTAAACATTATACAAACCACCACGCAGATCACTCTCAATAGCCATTGCCCCAAGTCACAATCCAAAATTATCACACGGTCAGACCTTGAGACCCTATAGAGTAATCATCGTCAAGAACGTGGGTCAAGGCACACTCAAAGACCCCTCCTCGCAAGCTCATACAGACTTTCTCCCGTCGTATGGTCTACCACAACATCCTACAAGAATGCGAAAGCGGGCAGATCATGAACCATAAAGCTACCGATCAGTGTAGATCATAGGGGCTCAGAAGCTACCTACGTTTGCAACAGAGCCACCGGCGAGAGTGTAACTTCAACCAAGACCTCGCTAAATCTACCAACGACAGCGGGGTTCCACTCCTTTTACTCCCGCAGCAGCAGCAGCATATACATATCCTCTACGGAGAGGTGGGTACATACTTTATCATCCCGGTCAATTGCCCGGCCCGGCCTTATCAACCCCCGGCCCCTAAAAACAGTCGCGGTGGGGTCCAAAGGATCTAATCCTCCCCTCGCAACGCAAGGCTACCTCAAGGCCCTCGCCCTCCCCATTACCGGCATCTGACAATCAAACGGACAAAAAAAGGGAAAAAAGAGCTGCAACAAGGATGGTGGAAGGATTCAATGCGCCCTGCGCTATTGATTTGCACTACATGCAGTAGTGCTAGGGGACAGAAACTCAGTAACCCCACACCGAGAGATCTGAATGATTACAACCCTCCTGGGGGGCGCTATATCGGATTGGGTTTCTTCACGGTCTAGTGCGTGATCGCAAGATAGTAGAAACGGCCCACTATATACTACAGCGTGGGTCTAGGTAGCTCTATTCGTGCCAAACCGGTGCGTCGGGGCCGTGACAACCCCCGTGCCAGAAACTGGTTCATGAGGCTTGTTTATGGATACTGTGTGCAGTGATTTCGGGGTCCCCACAAGGGCGTTGATGGGGGGTGGATCGTCTATTGTTCTTCCCCTCACTTCTCGTCCCTTTCCTACACCGGAGTATCTCTCTGATTCTGCCTGGTTCGTGTGTACTACTTCCTACTTTTTCCCACTTTGTCAAGTGTCGATCTTTACCACACTAATGAAGCATATTCTGCAAGGACAAGCAAGCAACTGCCGGTGGGGATGAAGGTATGGGGAATATACGAATAGACAAAAGTCTGACTGGCTTTGTCTGTCTAGTTTTGCTTGGAGGAGAGATCCTACCTGGTGTAGAATAGACAACCTGCCTAACGATACCATCAATAAGTCGAACGAGCAAAGGTTGAATGTAAAATCCATAAAATCGGGTATATAAAAGCTACATAGATCAATTCAATTCATCAAACATCTTGGTATCCGCATAAACAAAATCAGTCCCACCCCCGCATCCCAAACCAAAGCCAACATAAACAATCAAATAAACCCAAATTCACAGTATTGTCTATGCGTCGGCGCTACAGACGACTGCATCTCGAATTGAATCTCCACGTCGGTCGTACGCCGGATGATGAAGTTTTTCTGGGAATCACAGTCCGCAGCTTCAGGCCGCTTGCTGATGCTCGTTGCGATGCGCGAGCGTTTTGTCCCGTACCATGTGGAGGGGTCTTGGGATTCTGAGGATTTCGTGTGCCAGGTGCCGGTTGTGATGAAGTCTAGGAGGGGGCGGAGGCAGGGGATGCAGCTTGCGATGACGACCATGTTGGCTTCGATGCTATTGAGCGATATTAGTTAGTGGAGCTTATTGATTGGGGAGGGAGGTGGATGGTGTACCTTGTCCAGATGGCTAGGGAGACGGTGCTGTCTATTATCAGGTTAAACTTGGCCCTTCTTAGGCTCTATAGGTAAAGCGTACAGGTGGAATCACTGAGGTTGGCGAGTGATTTGAGTTGGATGCATTTGACGACCACGACACCTGCCGCACTGAGTGTCTTGTCAGTACGACTTCCATCTGGCAATTCTGTTCCCATTAAAAATCTTACCAGAAGCCCAGTCCCATGGTGACACTCAACCCGATCTTCTTACGCAGGGACATTTTCAGACTGAAGAGAACGAAGCTCGGGAATACTGCGAGGTAGCAATCGACAAAAACCGAGAGGGCTGCATCAACGTCGTCAGTACTCATAGACACGCAGCAGTACACTAAATCCGATGAGGAATAGGAAAGAAAAAGAGATATAGCTTACCACTAGTGAACGTGGCATAATTGATCAAAATCCAAATATCCCTACAAGTCGCCTCCCCAGTCGCAACCATAGTGAACTTCCAAAGCGCTTGGATCGGATCACACATCGTCACGTAGAGAAAGATGTTCACGATGCCCACCGCCGCCAGCCCACCCACCAGGCCCCAAATGATACAGCGGTTGAGGGTCCTGGGAAGCAGAAGTCGGTCGAGCAGAGCGGCCACGGCGAGCTTAGGCAAGACGAACGAGACGATTCCAAAAACAAAGGCAGCCTCGTTCCACTTGAGGGCTGTCTGCGCTTCTTCGATCGGTATCGAGGCTGTGTGTCGCCCGTAGCCTAATTCGACCGCTTTTGTCGTGAGGGCGCAGTACATCCAACCCATGACCTAGACAGTCGCGCCCGGCACATTAGTCTGGGCAAGAACAGATGTTGGGCAAATTCAGCAAACTCACGATGGATAACATAATGATCCAGTCGTCTGGGCCCGGGTTTCGTAGCACGTGTAGCCGGATATACAGGCGGGTGAAGACGCAGATACTCGCCAGGCCAGTGAACAGCCACATGACAGCGAGCACCATGGGCCCCAATGTCTCCTCATCGTAAGCTTTGGTCCCCATCGCAGGTGACATGCTGCGCGCTATGATAAGTGATAGTCCAGATCAAGCGACAAAAGAGCTGCAAGCAGATTTTGCTGGGGTCTGTCTGGTAAAATTGGCCTCGAAGCGTGAACTTCCCCCAGGACCCTGCGAGAGAGGGGATGAGTTCTTTATCATTCAATGTTATCTCTATCTGCCCCGCCAATGAAGGTAAAATCATCGTGCAAATCGGTCCTCTCTAGGCTAATTCAATCCTTTTCTTCATCCTTCACCCGGAAGGGCGATGGCTGAGCACACCGGCGGAAGCAGCTACATCACGCCAGCGCCAACCCGAGAAAACGGGCGAAATCAAGAAAATCAGCCTGATAAACGCACAGGTCGAGGCTGGGACGAACACCGGGGCCATTTTTTGAAGACGAAGGATTTGAGCGGAGCGAGCTACAAGCCCTTCCAGTCCTAAGCAGCTAACTTAGTGAGGCAGCAGGATGGTGGGGGAAACGCCCCGAACCTTGCCCTAATGCTACCCTCGGTCCCTGGCTTTGTAGGGGGAAAGGTTGATAAAGAAGTTGATTGAGGTCGTTTTTTTTTTCTCCTTCTATCTTTTGGTTACTTAATTTCTCTGATTCTACTATCTTTCAATATATTTATCTAGTACTCATCGTTTTTTGTCTGATTCAACGGATATTACAACATGGCAAACGGCCCCGTGGTTACGGCCCCCAATGCGCCCGAACAACTCGCCTCTCTTCTCCAGGATATCAACGGTCACAGTGCAGCATTCAGAAATGGGGATGCCAATTCTAGACTGAAGCTGGTGGCAGCAGCTCAATCGTTACTGCAAGCGATGGAAACCCCTCAGGAAACGATACTCCGCTATGTTTGGGCGCAGGCATGATTCACTTCCTCTATTCCAGCCTTGACCCATCTATCGTCTGTGATACTAACAGGCTTCTATAGCCTGCCACCTTTGCAGCAATTGAAACCTGTATCGATCTGAACATATTCGCCCTCATCTCTTGGAATGGCCGGTCGAGGTCTGTGGCAGACCTGGCTAAGGCGACAGGCGCGGAACCAGAAGTGCTTGGTGAGTCCTATGCGTCGTCCCAGTATTGGGCTCAGTAACTTAGGGCTGGGAATAAAGCTAACATATCTAGGACGGCTGTTAAAACATCTTGGGGCTGTGGGCGTCATTATTGAAATAGGGCTCGATGAATACCGGGGAACACGATTCTCCTCCGCTCTAGCCATGCCCCGATACAGAGACACATTCCCATGCATGTACGTCCATCCAAGACCTTCTCCCTAACAAGCCGAAAACCAACACCACCAAACTCTCTAGAACCGGAAGCACCCTACCCGCAATCCTCGCCATCCCAACCTGGCTCAAAGAGAACAACTACCGCAGCCCAACAGAAGGCACAAACTCCCCCTTCAACGTAGGCTTCCAAACAAACAGCCACTTCTTCGAGTACCTCCAGACCACCAACCCGCGCTACCCCAATCTCCCCGCCCAGTTCAACTCCCTCATGTCTACCTACCACTACGGCCGACCCAGCTGGACAGACCAGGGCTTCTACCCCGTCCAAGAGCGCCTCATCCGCGGAGCGAAAACTGCCCCCGACGGCGTCTTCCTCGTCGATGTAGGCGGCAACAAAGGCCACGACCTGGAGCGGTTTCACGCCCAATATTCCAACGCACCTGGCCGACTCATCCTACAAGACCAGCCCGCCGTGCTCGCCGACCTTCCGAGCAGCCACAACGACAAGCCGTTCGAGCCCATGGCACATGACTTCTTCACGCCGCAGCCGGTGCGTGGCGCGCGCGCATACTTCCTGCACTCTGTGCTGCATGACTGGAATGACCCACTGTGCGTGATGATATTGCGCAATTTGGCGGCTAGCATGACGCGCGGATATAGCAGGCTGCTTATCTATGAGAATGTTATTCCTGATACCGGGGCGCACTGGCAGGCTACCTCTCTGGATATTGTCATGATGGCCGATGTGGCGGCTAAGGAGCGTACTGAGCGTCAGTTGGTGGAGCTGGCTCGGTTGGCTGGGCTGCGTGTGTTGAAGATATGGACTGTCCCTTCTTGTGTTGATGGGTTGATTGAATGCGAGTTGGCGTGATGGTGAATATGAAGCTATGCCATTCCAGACCGCGCGATCGTGTTCCTTTTCTTTCTTTCTTTTTTTTTCGAATGTATATTAAAAGATATATAATTCATATCCTTTGACAACAGATAACTCAATGTAGTCTGGTGGTGATTGCCCATCGTACCTTCAATCGGCAGATTATATAGTTCTGCGGACAGGCTGGATGCTATGGAGCATAAAGGCAGATGTGTCAGTGTATGTTTGGGGTAGTAGCTCAGTGGTAGAGCGCTCGCTTTGCACGTGACTTTCCCTTCCGAGTTGAGTTCATGAATGCGAGAGGTCCAGGGTTCAATCCCCTGCTACTCCATTTTGTCTTTTTTTTTTTTTATTCGGTAAATTAATACTCTTTTCGGAGGCTTGTATTCTATGCAATAGCTTTGCTCTATTAATGCCGTGGTGGGCGTGAAACACCAGTTTCGATGTATCTCTAGTGTTCATGCTCACAATGGAAGACCTCCCTACTGTAGACAGCCCGTGAGACGTTGACCTACAGAGTAAGGTGATCAAACACGATGTTTATAGCTATAGATATGGCCATGCTACAGTCATGTTACAATCATGCTATAGTCACACCATATTATGTATGTAATCCATAATATAAATCAACCCCTCGCCAACTGCCCCAACGCCTCCTCCCCCTCAACCATCATCTTCAACCACTCATCCATAGGCTTTGCCCCCATCTGCTTATAAAACCCAATACTCGGCTCATTCCACGTCAACACGCTCCACTCCAGCCTCTTCCCCTTGGCCTCAATCACCTGCCCCGCCAACCACCGCAGCAGCAGCGTGCCGTACCCGTGCCCGCGCGCCTTGGGCTGCACGTACAGATCCTCCAGGTAGATGCCAGGCGCCGAGCGCCACGTCGAGTAGTTGTAGAAGTACAGCGCCATGCCGACGGGGATGGGGGTTGGGTCGGTCGGGGTTGCGGGGGGGGTGATGAGTGCCGTGTAGACGGAGCCCCGCTTGGGGGCCTGCGTGGGGAAGGAGAGCGTGGCGAGGAGGGACTCTTCGGTTGCTTCGACTTCGTGGAGGGCTTTTTCGTAGTCGGCGAGTTCGCGGATGAATTGGAGGATGAGGGGGACGTCTGTGTATAGGCGTGTGGGATTAGTGGGTTATATATACGTATTTATCTCTTCATTTCAAGCTTTTTGGTGGCTTTTTTGTGTGGTGTTTGAGGTGGACTTGCCCTCCGGAGTGGCTAGGCGGATGGTAGGTTGGTCGGCCATGATGTTTGATCAGGATGTATATTCTTCTTCGCAGCCTTGTTAATCTTGTTGTTTTGCAAATGTTGTCGATGGAGAAAACCCAATCACCCCACATGCGTTCCAGAAATTGAATGACAGATCCAGAAACCCCACCATTCTTGGCGCGCCCTGCGCCCTATGCTTGTGCTTTGTGTCGTGGATACTGGACCGAGTAGAAAGAAAAAAAGATTAAAAAAACATATTATGTACCTATACAGTTTCAAAGGAAAAAATCTATGCACTTGATGCAAGCAAAACATCAACTCTATCCATCTGATTTATTTCGAGATTGCCGCCATCCACTTTTGTTCATCCGTTCTGGGCGCAGTTAGTATATATCAATAATGGAGAAGGGGATAGAAATAATAAACATACCGGTCAAAATGTAGCAACATCCCCAGAACCGGAATCAGCTGCTTCTGATAGTTCCGGTCCTTCTGCTCCAAAAACTGCAGCAGCACATTCTTCAGGTACATGTAGTCGATCGTCCCGCTCGCATTCGGCGTGTCACTCCCCCGAGCAGACGGGCTGCGCTCCATCGATCCAGGCGAGAACATCCTCCGCGACCCGGAGTCCATCGAATTCCGCGAGGGCGAGCCCCGTCCGAAACGCGCTTCTTCGGTGAGCATGCGGTTGGACTTGCGCAGCTTCTCCAGCCGCGCGTTGGTTTCCTCTACCGAGCGGCGCAGTTCGGATCTTTCTTTCTCCAGGTCGCGCACTTGCTTTTCGCTCTCGTCTAGGGTGTCGCGCAGTCGAGTCATGGCCTCTCGGGTGTCCGTCAGCTCTTGGGTGGAGTGCACCGACTGTTCCTCCAGCTGATCGCGTCGGCGCTTCCATTCCTTCTGGGAGTGCAGAAGCTCCTCCTTGTCCTCCTCGGCAACCCGCAACGCCTTCTCGGCGTCCCGGACCTTGCCCTTGAGCTCCTCCAGCTCGCGCGCGCGACGGCGCCCCTGCGCGCTGGCTTCGTCTTCGGCCCGGTCTCGCTCCTCGATGGCCGCCTCCATGCGCTCCCGGAACTCGCGCACCTTGCTGTCCGTGCGGCCTTCGATGTCGTTCAACAGCCGGCGCATGGTCTCACCCTCGCGGGTCCGCTCGCTCAGAAGACGCTGCGCATCGGCCAGCTCCTCTTCCAGGCTCTCGCACCGCTCCCGCGCCTCCTTCATTTGCATGCCCAGTTCGGATCCCTGGTCCCGCATGTTGTTCATCAGGCTCTGGGCGCTGGCGTGTTGCGCGGTCTTCAGCTGGATATCCTCCCGCAGACTACTCAGATCCCGGCTGAGTTGCGTGGACTTCTGTTCCACTTCCTTCAACTTATTCCGGGCAGTCTTCAACTCGCTCTGGGCCTTGGCGAGATCCGCCGCAACCTTCTCTTTCGCCTCCGTCGCGTCCTGCTTCTTGCCCTCCGAGTAACGCAGGTCGGACTGGGCGATGGTCAGCTTCTCCTCGGCCTTCAAGCGGCTATCGGTCTCCTGTCGGATCTTTTTGTTGAGCGTGTTGACTTCGTTGTCGCGGTCGGATATCGTCGACTTGAGTGTCTTCAGCTCCGTTCTCAAATCCTCCTGTCTGCCCTCTAGCGTTCGCAAGTCCGAAGTCTTGCCCACAAGGGCCTCCTTGGTACTCTGCAGTTCCGCCGACTCATCCCGCAGCTTCTTCAATTCGGGCTGCAGCTTTTGAACAGTCTCCCGCAGGTCCGTAAGGTCCTTGAATCGGGTTGTGGCGAGCTGCTGGGCAGCAGAGAGTTCGGTTTCCATAGTGGTGAACTTCACCTTCAGGCTCTCGTACTCGCCTCTGAGGTCACTGTGCGCCTTCTCGCTATCAGCGCTGGAAGCGCTGCTGGTACGCAGGTCAGTCAGCTCCTTCTCTAGCTTGGAGATGGTTTCCTCCAAAGCATTCTTATCGGCCGTGAGCTCCTTGATCTTATCTTTCGACTCCACGTGTTCTTGGCCGATGTTGAGGAGGTCGTCGCGAAGAGAATCGATCTCTTCCTTGAGGTCATCTTCCCCTTTGAGTTTCGAACTGAGGCGGTCAATGGCTTGTTCTTTCTCTTCCAGTTGCTGCGTCAGATCTTCAATCTTCTGTTGCAACTGGCTCGAGTCCGAACCGGCCGGCTCGGTCTCCGTTGCAGGTGCTTCCTCCGCTGGAGCTGGAGCCTCTGCGGGCTTACTAGGTTCGTCGCCTCCCTTGCCACCCTTCTTCTTCTTCTTATTCTTCTTTTTACCGCCTCCGCCGGCAGCACCTGTAGATGCTGCTGGCTGACTGGCAGGCTCAGGGGCCTTGGATTCCGGGGCTTTGGTGGCGGCTGGGGCCTTCTGCGCAGGAGCAAGACTCTCGCGCAAGCCGCTAAAGTCGGCTTTCTTGCCACTTACGACTTGATCCTTCGCCTGTTGCCATTTCGCGTTGTCCTTCATGTTGCCGTCAAGGAAGTCGACGATATTCTGCAGCTTGCCCATGTTCTCCGTCTTCTTCTCCACGTCGACCTTGAGACCCGACATGGTATCCTGCGTCTCCTTAAGTTGAGATTTGAGACTGTCAACCAGGCCCTGGACCACGCCGAGGCGCTTCTCACTTGTGTCTTTCTCTTTCTTCACTTCTTCGAGCTTAGAGGTAAGTTCAGCCTGCTGATCGGCAGTTTGAGACTGGGAGGCCTTCTCGCGAAGCTCTTCGATCTCGGCCGACTTCTGTGTCAGTTCAGTCTTCAGACTCTCGACTTCGGTGTTGGCTTTCTCGACGGCGCTCTCGGAGGCGGCAAGCTTGGACTTCAAGTCGTCGACGTCTTCCTGTCTAGCCTTCTTCAACTTCTCGAGTTCCGCGTCTTGCTTATCCTTGTTATCGCGCAGGTCCACAAGCTCCCTAGTCGCAGATTCCAAATTGATGACCATGCCCTCCGTCGACTCACGTGCCACGGACAGGTCGCGCTTCAACGACACCGCCTGGGATTGGAGCGTTTCGACCTCTTCTTGCTTCTGCTTCAGTTCGGACTCCAATCGCGGGACCTCGGCGTCGAAGGAGAAGAATTCCTCGCTCTCTTCCTGCGGTTCGGAGGCTTGGGTGGCAGCCTTATCGGTGTCATCGGACGACGTTTTCTTCGCTTCTGGGGTGTCCACAACCTTCTGTTCGCCCTTCGCATCATCATCGTCCTTGCGACTCTTTTTGAGTTGGTCGACTTCGTCCAACGCCGCCTTCTTGGCCTTCTCGGATTCTTCGTATTTCTTCTTGTAGTCATCCCTCTCGGTCGTAACACGCTTCAACTCCTCCCCAACCATGTCACTCTTCAACGAGATCTGATTCAAATACTCCGTCAAGGCTTTGGGATCTCCGACGGAGGTCAAGGGCGTATTCTCGCGCAAGGCAGCTTCGAAGGGTTCGATCGACAGGACACGCGAATGGGCCGCTCGGTACGCTTTCAGGAGATCTGTAACAGAGGCTTATTAGTTCCCGGGTGCTGACACTTTGCGCATCCCCGTGACATACCCTGATACCGAGCTTCCATCTTGGTCAGCTTCCTTAACTTCACTCGAACGTCAGGAGGGAGCTCCGCGGGGGCGGCGGGCTTATTCGCCTCCGCAGCGGGCGCCGCCTCCTTCCCTGCCGACGATGACTCCCCTACAGCCGCCTTTTCCTCCCCCGTGTTCTCCGCCGGCGCGCTTTCGGGGACATCGGCGGATCCGGGACGCGGAGTGCCCGCCGTGCTGGACTCGTCATCCTCTCCGATCGCAAAATCCGGCTCGAACTCGGTCGGATCGGGTCCCCGAACCGGCGTTCCAGTGTTGCGCCGGGCCCGGGGGGGTCGTCGATTCGGGTCGGGGCGACGGGTGGAATTGGAGCGGGTTACGGCGTCCTTCTGGCGAGCTTGTTCCTCTGCAATCCGAGAGTCGATTGCATCGCGGAGTCGCTAGATATGCCGTTAGCCGGTGTCAAAATCACCCAATGGACAAGGATGGGGGTTTGGTGAAGCCGGGAGAGAGCTGGTGGCGGAGGAAGCCTTATCAGGTCCTCACGCCATCGACAGGGCAGGTCAACTGTACCTGAAACATGACCGTAACAGGCCTGGTCACCAGGACCACCGCTAGATAGACAAATGGAAGACAAAAACCACCAAGGTGAAGCAATAAATCGAGCAGTGGGAGGAGATGTAAGACGGGAAGAATCAGGAGGAGCATGCCCAGGATGTTGGGGGGAGCTGAGGCAGCAACAAGGCCAGATTGGTCAGGCGGCCTTAAGACGTTGGCAGAAAATCCCCGATTCGGTATTCCGCTCGGACGGCCAAGACTTGATCCTTTCAAAGGGGTAGTTGGTCGTATGGTTGACGGTTGAATTATTTATTACCCAGAGAGGGATTGAATGGATCACTTCTATACTTCTATCTTATCTACTGTACATTGAGAAGTACACTCTATACAACTTATCTATCATTATCCCCACAATCAAGTCATCGGTGGAAAACACGGGGTAAAACGCCGAATAATGTTTCCTTTCTGCCTTACGATCACCTGATCCATAACCTTTGATCTCCGAGATGTTCACGGAACACTAATAATGCCTTTTTGTGCAACTTGCACGTGCAAGACTCGATCATATCCACTAGGCCCAATCCGGTCTAGATGATCATGGGCAGCCCGTGACTGTTCTGCCTCAGGTAAGAAACAACAAGAAAGTCCATCTCATCTCATTCTTGACTTCATGCCTTCCACTCTTCCTCTCTCTCTCCTTCTGCTCATCCAGAAAACATCACTCATCTCATATTGGGACTACCCGATGTGCGCGTGGTGGCTCCATTGAATGGCGGTATGTACTCATGATCTTGGTCATTCTTACCACTTCCTTACTGTACACCGTCCCTTACAATTGTCAGGTTCCTCGGTACCATTATGTCCGCCTATTACTACGACACCATTCATGATTCATCAATCATCACCCAATTCTATTGTGGCACGGTCCACTCAGTCTCCCAATAGGGTTTAGCCTAGCCTGTGCCAATCCTGTTTAACAAAACAGGGAGCTTAGTGGCTTGGGCTCCATTCAACGACGTCAAATACACCTTGACCTTGCTGTTCCTGGCCCAGCCAGGCATAGCCCCGAAAAGAAAAGAAAAAAACGAACCGGAGGAGTAGGGATCCCATCATGGCCGACGCCGGAATACCAGTCCCTTCTCCCTCCAGCGTCCTCGACGTGTCTACCTCGTCCGCTTTGATTTCAACCTCCGCATCACCCCTCTCGTCCCTCGTGCCCCTCGCGCCCGCCATAACTGCGAGTCTTTCCGGCCTCTCGGGTTTTGCCAATTCCCATCTCCCACCCCCACCAGTATCGCCGCCAAAACCGACCAGCATGGTGGGGTGGATCGGTTGGGTGTTTTCCCTTCTTTTCCAGGGCATTCCAAGCCTCTTATACTGGATCATTACCTTTTCTACCATCACCCTTCCCACATGGCTCTTCACCCTGTTTTCCATGAGCTTGACCTTCACCATGAATTTCACCACCCTGTAAGTCCACGGAACAACTGTTCTACCGATCACATGTCAATCACCGTCCTATGCAGTTGCTGACCAATGGGCGATCCGTTAGTCTGCTCATCGTGCTGGCCGTGGTGTCGACTTTCATCTGGTTCGTTCGGTACCGATTTCTCAATATGTACAGCCGCCTGCCTCCCGAGCCGCAGCGGAAGGAGCCGCAGCTCGATCTGTTCCCGGACATCCAGGAGGGGGACTCGAAACCGGGTCTGGCCAATTATCTCGATGAATTTCTCAGCGCCATCAAAGTCTTTGGCTACCTGGAGCGGCCGGTGTTCCACGAACTAACCCGGACCATGCAGACGAGGAAGCTGATCGCCGGCGAAACGCTATTGCTCGAGGAGGAGAAGGGATTCTGTCTGGTCGTAGACGGGCTTGTTCAGATCTTTGTCAAGTCCATCCGAGAAGGAAAGTCGGATGGAGAGGAGGACATGAACCGCGCTGGCGCGGGCTTCGCGGACGAGGACGACCACCTCGCGGGGAAACAGCGTTACCAGCTGCTCACCGAGGTCAAAAACGGCGCCTCCATGTCCTCTCTGTTCTCCATCCTCTCCCTCTTCACGGAGGACATTCAGTTACGGGCTGCGGGAAACCCCGCTTCCAGGGGCCCCAGCGTAGGTCCGAGCAGCACCGCGAGGCCATCCACCCCGGCCCCGGTCAGCCCTCGAGAGTTCTTAGACAGCGCCTCTCCTAATCCCCTGAGAGAGCCACACGACCTCGCCTCCCACATGGCTAGTAATGAGGAGTTCCTGCCCTCGGTGCCGCCATTGAACCTCGGAGGCAGCCAGAGCACCCCGAGTCCCCAGGCGGAGCAGCAAGAACCCAAGCAGCGGCCGGGTAAGAAGCACGAGAAGTCGGTCCATCCGGACATTGTGGCACGGGCCATGGTAGATACCACGATTGCGATCATCCCTGCCAGCGCCTTCCGGCGTCTGACACGGGTCTACCCCAGAGCGACAGCGCATATCGTCCAAGTGATCCTGACGCGGCTGCAACGAGTGACCTTTGCGACGGCCCACTCCTATCTTGGCCTCATGAACGAGGTTTTGGGCATTGAGCGGCAGATGAACAAGTTTACCACATACGACCTCCCCAATGAAATGAGGGGGGCCGCCTTGGACCGACTCAAGGGTAAGTTCATCAAGGAGCGGGACCGCCTCGGCCCCGAGGAGATCACCAAAGGTATCGCGTTGCACAACCCCTCCATGGGGAGGAGACGTCGCTCGAGCAGCTTTCTACGAAAGGAAGCCGTCCTGCAGGCGAGGATGGCCAATGCAAATCGTCCATCTTCCGTGGCCGGTTCGGACTATGTAGGAAGTGATCGAGAAGGGCCCGGGCCCAGTCCCGGAGACCTCCTTTCGACCATTCAGCTTTCGAGGTTCGGCCCTAGATACGACCATTTGACCCCGAAGTTACAGAGTCCGCTGGCCGAAAAAGAGCAACCCCCGCTAGTCACGGCCCGCCTTCCCTTCCAGCGACAGGAGTCCTTTGACGAAGATTCCCTCTTTCGAGAGTCCATCCTGGAGTGTATAATGAACGGGATTGGCCTCACAACAACCACTGGTGAGATGTTGCGCAAGGGGAGTCTCGTGTCGGGTGATGCATCTCCCAGGCTGCTATCCTATGATTCTCGGCTCCAGAAGGCGGTGTTTAGCAACAACGCATTCGGTTTCATGGACCCTTATGAAGGGTCCAACGATGGTGACTCGGAATCGACGATGTCGATGTCCGTTACCAGTGTCGGCGGCACGCCACCGATTGGCAACCTGAAGGACGAGATCCGGAATGATATCGAGGTGGTTTACTTTCCCCAAGGCTCCGTCCTCGTCGAACAAGGCGAGCGCCATCCCGGTTTGTACTACGTCATCGATGGATTTCTCGATGTGGGTGTGCCCGTGGTCGACAAGGAAGACGATCTCTTGGGCGCATCCAAAACAACAAATCCGCAGGAAGAGCGCTTCACGCCACTGAGGCAGTCCACCAGAGGGGCTTCCTCCCGCGCTCCAAGCCTGGGGGCTGGCGGCGGTGACTCCAGACGCAAGAAGCAATCTCGCAAGTCGCTGTACATGATCAAGCCCGGTGGCATTCAAGGCTATGTGGGAGCGACGGCTTCCTACCGCTCCCACACCGACGTCGTGGCCAAAACTGACGTATACGTCGGGTTCCTGCCGCGGGCCTCCCTGGAGCGGATTGCAGAGCGGTATCCTATCGTACTGTTGACGCTGGCGAAGCGCCTGACAGACCTTCTACCTAGACTGCTGTTACACATCGACTTTGCCTTGGAATGGGTGCAGGTCACTGCGGGCCAGGTAATCTACCAGCAAGGCGACGAAAGCGACGCAATATATCTTGTTCTCAACGGACGTCTGAGGTCATTCATCGAAGGCCAGGGCGGGAAGATGACCGTCCTTGGCGAATATGGCCAGGGAGAAAGCGTCGGCGAGCTCGAGGTCATGACCGAGTCCACCCGACCGGCTACTCTTCACGCTATCCGGGACACCGAATTGGCCAAATTCCCGAGGTCCCTTTTCAATAGCCTGGCGCAGGAGCATCCCGGGATCACCATCCAGGTCTCGAAGCTTATCGCGCAACGCATGCGAGATCTCGTCGAGCGCCCAATCACCGAGAACAGTGCCGAACGTGGCAGCACGGGTACCGTCAAGACAGCAACCTCGACGGTTAATCTGCGTACCGTTGGAATCCTGCCTGTGACCGCTGGGGTACCTGTCATCGAGTTCGGCCATCGATTGCTGAACGCCCTTCATCAGATTGGCGTCACGAACGGCGTGACGTCCTTGAATCAGGCAGCCATCCTAAACCACTTAGGACGCCACGCATTCAGCAAGATGGGCAAATTGAAGCTGTCCCAGTATCTGGCGGACCTGGAGGAGAAGTATGGGATGCTGTTGTACATCGCAGACACCAACGTCAACTCCCCGTGGACGCAGACTTGTATCAAGCAGGCTGACTGCCTTCTCCTTGTCGGTCTCGCCGAGTCGTCCCCGGCCGTCGGAGAATACGAACGATTCCTTCTCGGAATGAAAACAACCGCCCGGAAAGAGCTCGTCTTGTTGCATGCGGAGCGCTACTGCTCTCCTGGCCTGACGCGACGGTGGCTGAAGAACCGAGTCTGGATCAACGGAGGCCATCATCACATCCAAATGCCATTCCGACTGACGGAAGAGCCTTCCCACCCGCAGACGACAAAACGTTTTGGCGCGGTTCTGAAGCAGAGGGTCCAAGTCATCCAGGCGGAAATCCAAAAGTACACCTCGCGACGGATCCACCAGTCGCCCCTCTACTCTGCCGAGACACCGTTCAAGGGGGACTTCCACCGCCTTGCGCGTCGACTCTGTGGCCGATCGGTCGGCCTCGTCCTTGGAGGCGGCGGAGCCCGGGGCATCGCCCAAGTGGGGGTCATCAAGGCTCTCGAGGAGGCTGGAATTCCGATCGACATCATCGGTGGCACCTCTATCGGGTCGTTCATCGGAGCCCTGTACGCGCGAGATGCCGACATCGTCCCCATGTTCGGCCGTGCCAAGAAGTTCGCCGGCCGCATGGGTAGTATCTGGCGCTTCGCGCTCGACCTGACATATCCTACAGCCTCGTACACGACAGGTCACGAGTTCAACCGCGGCATCTTCAAGACCTTCGGCGACAGCCAGATCGAAGACTTCTGGCTCGAGTTCTACTGCAACACCACCAACATCAGCAAATCGCGCGCCGAGTTCCACTCCTCAGGCTACGTCTGGCGCTACGTGCGGGCCTCCATGACCCTAGCCGGCCTCATCCCGCCAATCTGCGACGAAGGCAGCATGCTCCTCGACGGTGGCTACATCGACAACCTCACAGTCGCCTACATGAAGGGCCTCGGCGCAGACGTAGTCTTCGCCGTAGACGTGGGCTCCATCGACGACAACACCCCACAAGCATACGGCGACTCTCTCTCAGGCGCATGGTCCGTCCTCAACCGATGGAATCCATTTTCGTCGGTCCCCAACCCGCCCACACTATCCGAAATCCAGGCGCGGCTCGCGTACGTCTCGTCCATCGACAACCTAGAGCGCGCCAAGAACATGCCCGGCTGCCTGTACATGCGGCCGCCGATCGACCCTTACGGCACACTCGACTTTGGCAAGTTCGACGAGATCTACCAGGTCGGGTACGAGTTCGGAAAACAGTATCTGGACAAGCTGCGTAGTGAGGGCTCTCTGCCTTTGCCGGAGGAGACGGAGGAGAAGAAGAAGCTGCAGCGGACGTTGGCGCCGCGACGAGCTAGTATATAAATAATTTGTCAGGTCCTTTTCTCGCGTTCTGATATAGACCATGGCTTAGATCATATGTTTACGATCATGACTAGATACGACGAGCTTTAAGTATGGAAAGTATAGGAAATGTACATAAATATCACTCGTACTAGATGCATTATAGTTGATCCTTGAGCGCTCCCAGGGAGCTATTAGGGCATTAGGTACACAACATCATCAACAACGATCGTATGTAAAGGGTAGGATAGACAAGCTTGCCAATTCGACTGTTCCAATATCACATTTCCACTTCTTGGTTATTTCCCGTCAGTACTCGTTGCGTCAACCAAGCCATAACATGACCATAACCATAAAAACAGCCACAACCATATTAACAAATCTCCACGTTCGTTTCCTTCCCAGAAAGAAAAATCAGCCGCGCTGACCCCTCCATCACAACACACAACTCTCCAACTCAACCCCCATCGCACATCGTAAACGTGCAAACTACCCAGATGGTACCTAGGTACCTAGATAGGTATGTAGTCACGAAAGTACGTGGTTATTAAACATTACTCGACCCGACCGGCGCATCAGGCGGGCCACCATGGGCACCACCAGAGTACTTCTCCCTCGAGGGCCCACGGGTCTCGCGACGGTCGGCCCAGAGGTTGAGGACTTCAAGGAACATAGCGAAGAAGGTGAAGATGCTGTATACAACTTTGTTAGTTTCTTTCCTATTCTAGCTTCTATCATTTGTAGTTTTATTCAGGTTGTTCAGTTTTGAAAGGAAGGGAGGAACATACAAAGTCAAGAAGATAAACGACTCGTTGGCCTTCTTCTTGGCGCAGCTGTGGTTGGGGGGCGCGTTGAGGAAGCAGTCGTCGCGGTTGTAGTCTTGGGCGGCGAAGATGAAGGCTGTGAGCCAGCTGGTTGGAGGTTAGTATCGTGGCTATGTATAGTAGGATTGAGCTGGATGGTAGGTAAGTGCATACAGGTAAGAGAAGACAACGTCAATCAAGAGGACATATTTGCTGAGTCGATTAGGCATGAAAGGCGAGACGAAGGCCGGGAGGAAGAAGACGATGGACATTGTCGACTACAGATATCATCCTGTTAGACATATATGTTCATAGTGGGATAGAAGGGACGAGACATACAATAACCTCAGTATATTTCAGCAGCAAGCCCCTCGGACCCTTATGGATATAGTAAGACGTAAGGCCTAGCACGATAGCCGCGCTAGACCACTGCATCACCCGGCAGAGGAGCTGGAAGGGCTTGGTGAGGGAGCTAGGGAACATGTTGGCTGTTGTGTCTTTCTTTCAACTCTTTCAGGTGTTGAGTATCTTGATGATTTGGCAATAAAAAGACGTCAACGTAGTGTGACACAGACCAGAATCGAAAGAAGAGAGAATGCAGTATAAGGACAAGGAAGATTGCCGCGACAAGGTTAGGGTTTATATACCAGTGTGAAAGTGGCCGATTTTGCCGTCTGCCCTTTGCGTCAGAGGGGTTGGACGGAATAATCAATGGTATGAAATCAATGCGATTCTCCATTGCTATTGGGTGGTTTGCATGGATCTACTTCTATAGCTGTTGTTCCCCGGATACGTCATGGAGGGTTGAAGTCGGTTTGGTGCCGGTGTAGGGCTGGCTGGCTCGGTCTAAGTTCAGGATTGACCCACGGGAGATCCAGATATCCAGATATCCAGTTCTTATCAATCCAGATATTTCATGATCAACTGATTGATTGGTGATCAGATGATGGGGATCTGTTTCCTGTGGGGGTAAAAGGAGCAATCTCGGTGCTATCTACAAGAGTTATTCGAGGTGATGTATAGTAGGAAAAGGAGGTAACAATCAGACAATAAAAAAATTCAAACAGAAAGAAGAAAGATCAGAAAGAGAAGATACAGAATACGAATACAGACAATCACCCCACGAAACATACGATCAATATGCTGATTGGCGAGTTGCATGATCCATTCGGCACGCTGCGGAAGCTGTGGGCAGACAGATGCGTTGGTCGAGGCCACCCATCCCACGGGTGAGTCCGATGGAACCAATCTTTTGTTACATCATTCTGATTGTCTAGATATTTTATCTCAATGTCCGTGCTCAGGTGGATATAGCATTGTCGTGGCAATTTCCAAGAAATGAAAGTAAAGATAAACGTGGGATAGGGTTTGGAGGCGTCACTGACTTGGTCTCCATCGTCTAGCTAGGTTTACATGATGACTGGAACACGATGGGAACCGTAGAGATATAAATCATCCATGTTTTGGCCACGCCAGATCCGCCCAACCATGCACTTTAATTGAGTCATGATTATCATCTGAATTGGCGATCATACTTGGGCTTGGGACGTCTGGCCTGCTATACTATAGCGAGTGGCTGCCGCAGATCAAAGCTAACCCTAAAGCTTCAAACACAACGTGGTCGGCCGATTGGGCTTTCTATTTCTACTTGAAACTTCAGAAATTATCCTGCTTACCAGTATAGAATTCGATCTTCATTAGTTTTATTCAATTATAATCATCAATAGTCAACTCCAGCCCATTTTACGGATATTAACTCACAGCATAGTCTCTTACCCGTAATATGATAATGTAAACATCAACATAAACCTAAGACAGTCAGACAGACCTCCCCAACCAACAATAAACACAGACAAACCATACCCAAATAGTCAATCCAGATATCCACTCTCTCATGATTTCATCCCTCGTCACCTCTCACAGACAAGGAATCAAAAAAAGCAATACCCCACCCCCATCCGAGCATCCCGAGCCCACAATGACATTCTTATTACCCTTCTATCTCCCACCTTGGTCGCCTTTATGAGACTGTTTTACTTGACTACGGCCCCGCCCTATTGTTGGATATTCCTTGTCCGGTCCTGTCACGACTGCCCCACGGACTATAACTAAATGGGTTGCTTGTTTGCTTGCTTGCTTGCTTGCTTGCTTGGCGGTCTAGTATGTCTGTTTGTCTATCCTAGGACGCAGGAAGACAGGAAATCTCCCCGGACATGTGACGTCCTGTCGCAATGAATATAGGTCTACTTAGGAAAAAAAAACGTGTCATGATATATTCTGTAGCTGAGTGGTAGTTCCTTGCAACACCAGTTCTATGGCCACAATCGAATGTGCGGTTTCGAAAAAGGTTGATGGCTTTATAATACAGGTTCTTGTGTGTCTATGTATATATCCTCGTGTCCGTGTGAGAAGGATAGACCTATCAAATAGGTCGCGAGTGATATGCCCAAAAGTGACCCAAAAAAGGGGAAGAAGGGAAAATATGGGTATGATAATAGCCCTACATCAACGTAGTTTTCAATGTAATAGTAAGATAAGCTAAGATATCTAATCGCAAACGCGATCACTCAAAGTACAACAAACGACCCTTTTCCAGACGCCCGACGCCCTGACTCACCCGCCTTCGTACCGACAAGGACGCTCGCATTCGATAGAAAAATCAACGGCCACGACAGCACTACTGTCTAGGCTTACGTAGTTGCCAGTCATAATCAAGAACCTCCGTGTTCACCACGAGGTAGCATTTCCTAACTCGTGTTCCTAGTATTGTCAGCACGAGATGTAAGTGTAGAAAGAATATGTAAGGATAGGTCATACCTTCAAATATTCGCTACCCTTCTCCATATACTCCTGCCGCGAGATCGACGACTTGGCCAGCTCCGGCCCAGACGCCCACTGCGCGGCTCCCTTCCACGCATCGAGGACGGGGTCTGCGGCGCGACGTACGGATAGCTCGGCGTCGAGGGGCAGGAGACCGCGGAAGTCATTACGGAATCGTTCGTCGAAGTTCTTGAAAAGGGTGTTGCCGCCGGTGAAGAAGACGTCGCGGAGGAGTTTCGCCTGGTCGTCGGGGTTGCCGAAGCGGTGGTTGACGATGTCGGCGGCTATATCCACAAGGCCTGATTGGTCCACGCCTGCGATAGAGGGCTTGAATACCACTTCCGGCACGCGGATGCGCTCGACGTTGAGGTGGAGCTGGTGGGCTTCGCGCTGGCTCTCTGGGTCGAATGGCCAGGGGCCGCGGAGGAAGACGTGGATCAGGCTCTTAGTCCAGTCGGACTGCGCGGCGAGCGTGTGGTTTTCTGTGAATTCGGGATCGTGCTCCAGGAGCTCCTTTTCGACGTTGTCGAGCACGGCGCCGAGATCTTCCTCCTCTTCGTCGTCGCTCTGGTCGCCGGTGGCCACGGTTCGGTACACACCCCAGTCTTCATCGTTCGCACCGAAGTCGTCATCGTCGCCGCCTCTTCGGCGTTTCTTGGGTCCGTCTGAGGCGAGATTTGCTAGCGTTTTCATCCGCATCTGGCTGGCGAGGGACTTCCGGTTACCCAGATCTGCCTTCATCCTGTCTCGCTCCTTGATCTTTTGCAGAATATTCTAATGCACAGTTAACACCCGATTGGGTCAGATCTTGTCGGGAAGATGAGGGTTCTTACCTGTCGAGCCACCCTCCTCTCCTCAATCCACTCCTCGAAGTTGTTCTCCCTCTTCTCCCGGTCAAGACGCTCTTCTTCCTCCCGGCGGGCCTTCTCTCGCTCCTTTTCGGCCTTCGCGCGCTGCCGTGCCTCGACGTTGGACTTCATGAGCCGCTGGTGCCGCTTCTCCTTCAATCCGGCTTCGTCCAATTCCTCGTCAGGTATGTCCAGCATGGGGAACGACATCTCCTCCTGAGGCTCTTCATTCTCCTCGATTCCGAGGTCCCGGTTTCTAGACCGTTTGATGGACCGTTCAAGATCCCGGACGAGCCGATCGAGGTGTGCTTCGTCTTTCAGATCCTCCGCATCCAAGATCCGCTTCGCCTCTTTCTTAGTCTCAGACTGGAGACCCCGCTGGAGGTCTTTCCAGTATTCCAACTCCTGTTCCTTTTTCATGAGCTTTTCCAGTCGCATCTTCGCAGCCTGTTCCTGCAGCCGACGTCCGCTCTCCTTCTTTCTCTCCGCGATGCGCGCAAGTTCCTCCTCGGTCTTTTCCTGCACCACATGTTCTGTATATGGATATTGGATGACATGGTCGCGTTCTTCGAGTCCTGTCCAATCGAGGTAGTGACTGAGCTCCGTGTCATAGTCAGTGGATACGTAGCAGTGCTCCCGAACAAGCCCTTCCATCTGGTTTTCGGTAAGCCTTGCGGGGAATGTCGGGTATTTCAGCTTCATCAGCTTCAGCAAGTATTCAGACGCATTCATTCCACCCCAGTTGAGCCGCGAGCAGTTCGACAACAGAGCCTTGTTGTTGAGGACGGGAATAACATGGGTCGACGTATGCGACGATGAAACAATCAATCCATCGGTCCCACGATTGTACCGGTAGGAGAAGAGCGAATCGATCCCGTAGGCAACGGAGGGCGCGGAGTAGCATTCAAACAAGATTTCGTTCATCACTAAGCATATCAGCAAGATGATCCCCATCGCATCCAGGATTCAACCTACTTCGTCGCGGGTAGTTCAGGTTCGCGATCGGTTCTGTCATCACGATGGGCCGGCCAACCCCTCCATCTGCCCCGTCTACCCCCAGCTTGAGAAATAGATAATCAAGCACCCCTTCCATAACATCCCAGTTTCCCACCACACTCGTACCAGGGTCAAAGGCGTAACGTAATTGACCGCGTGTCGTAGCATCGACGTAGGCGTCATATCCGATGAACTGACACGCCTTGTTGAGCTTCCGGTCGCGGTACCGGCTCATAACCGGAGGGATGACGAAGCGAGGGTCCTTGTCGAACGACCATCCGGCTTTGACGAGACTAGAGCCTTACAGACAGGGAATGTCAGTGAGAGGCGAACCCTTTTTTGAGTGAGTATGTACTTACCATTGTCGATGACTATGGCGCTGGAGTCAGGGTTCGACCTGCTTCGCTCAAACCCATCGGCTTGCGGGGGTAGATACCCCCTGAAAGGAGGATCTCGTGCTGAATAAGTCTTCGGAGGCGGCTTCGCGGCGCTCTTCTCGGTCGAATTGATCGAACGGCGACCAGGGAAGAGCGTCTGCACCGAATTGATAGTCATGGCGGAGGGCGTTCGAAGTGACTAGCAACTCAGGAGCTTCTGCGAGAGCGAATCACCGCATTGCAGGTTGTCGCAAGCGATGAGTGGGATGACAGAGAACGAGTAATTATAGAAGGATGAATTCCGAGGCAAAGCAGCCAAATCACGCGAGTGGAAGGAGAGGCGGTGGACTGAAGGTTAAGATGCGCAACCAGCGTTTGAACGCCGCAAAGCGCAGGAGGCAACTTCCGCCAGTGGCTTGTTGATGTGCCAAGCTCTGTTTTTTTGTCGCTGGTAAAGCATCTAAGAGAGTGGTTTCTTCAACAACGGCAAGATGGCCGAGCGGTCCAAGGCGCTAGGTTCAGGTTTACCTGACCATCACAGTTCTCTCCAGAACTTCCTAGTCACGCAAGTGGCGTGGGTTCGAATCCCACTCTTGTCATAACTTTTTCTTTTTTTCACTTCACAACTTTTTACCTTTTGCCTTCTCTCCCCTTCCTCTTTTTATCTCTCATATTCCTGTTTGCTGTATTTGTCCCCTCGGTCCCTTGATGATCCATGGAAATAGGATGTCCTGTACAATATTCCCTGTATACACAGTTACATAAAGGCCCGACGGTTGGTTTAAGAAGGTTCTTTCAAGATTCTATAGTCGTGTTCATATAGTTGATTGTAAGGCTGCATAGTGTTAACAACCATTACCACACTAGGTAATGCTGGTTGTGGATGGTTGTCAACGGTTATGGAATGGTAACCTGAGGGTTTACTACGTGTTCCCCCACTCTATGATAGTCTATAGTATCAACTATCAAATGGACCCAGCTTTTAATAGTGTTCGAATTGACTATCTTCCAGTGACGATGATATGCTAGGATGCCAATCAACTTACGCCCTATACCAGACGTTGGTCAACGTTTTGGTGCAGCGGTCTTGAGATGATACTCAATCCAGGGCTTACGTTCTCTGTAGCTCTATTTTCCAAAGCCCTACACGTCTCTCATGCTATATTGATCTTGAATAACCCTGAGTTGAGTCCATGATCTGCTAGTACAGGGCATCCTTGTATAGCATAACTTGAAAACTTCTTAGATGGGATTATTGAGCATATCCATCTATTGATGCGAGGTTGTTCTACTCACGCTTGCTAAAGCCTGGTCCAGCCCTAGATCATCGGGTTATGGGCCACAGGTATACAAAATTGAATTACTCTGGGTATGACAGCGTCCTTAGGCAGGCAGGACTCAAAACCAATTAAACCACATATAGCACTACAGCGGAGATTATTAGTTATCCAATAGTACAGAATACTGAGAACTCACAAGCAAGGAAATAGGCACGATAGCTACAGTATGTCCTTTTATAGTTATATATAGAAGATTACTCCTCTAGCCGATTATCAAACAGTTGTTTGGTCTCTTCAGTCCTTCCCATCATTTCTTTGTTATTCTGTGATTCTGTGTGTATGTTAGGGTTTCCGCAGGCCTCTACAGCCGCTCCACTTGGTATATACAGCTCGAATGCGCGGATCGGATGGGGTTTGTGGGCTTGATACAGCACCACATACATGCCGTAGAAGTAGTTTAAACTATCCACACTGTCATGGCCAGGGTACTGCGCTCGGGTTGACTCTAGTTCTCTCGTGATGCATGAAACCTCCAGGTACCATCCTTCCTCGTTGTCTCGGGAATACAGAGTGTCACGCTTGCCTTGGGTAGAGACTTATAGGGGTTAGTCTCCTATCTTCACACTACAGAGTGACTAGACAAGAACCATTAATTCACTACCTTTGATCTGTGCTCGGAATCCTTTCTATACCCTAGCGTAACCTGTTTCGGTCGATTTCCCCACGACGGGGAACTCTGCAGTGGTCTCATTAGGCTCCTTATTTGTGGACCTGTTGGGTATGACAAAACCTTGTTCTTCAGAGCCTATTAGTAGGCGCTGAAATGTATATTGATTTTTGTGGACTCATTGGCCTGCAGGGACACCATGATCATGGGACTTCTAGCCTGCCGAAGGGACTCCCTAGGCTAAACTCATGGTGTTTAGGCCTGCTGCGGGAAACTCATCAGCCTTCAGGGATACCAAAGCAAAGGGCATGGAAAACTTCAGTAGGTAGGCCCCAGTATTGGCAAGTCACTCGCCTGCAAAAATACTGAGATAAAGACATGATCATCTCCAGCTTGGAGGCAGAATCCACTTGGTATGACTGTTTAGTTATGACAAGCACATGTGAGCTGCTTATGAGGATTCGGTGATTTGGATCGGTATACGTTTCATGATCAGAATTGCTATGTACGCGTTGAGAATGGTTGCTTTGGTGAGATTATGAGATGAGGTTACGGCAGTGGTTTCAGAAATAATATGACGGTAGCCGTGGAGGCTCGGGCCTCATGGCTTGTGGGAGGAGTGATGAAAAAGGTCAAAAATCAATAAATTTCAATGATCATGAAATCTACAAAGAGGTTGCGAGTGTCTGGAAAATTGCGAAACCAGGAAAAACCCAAATCACAATTTATATGTAATAGTGCAGGTCAACTGACATGTTGCCTGATTGCGTGCCTCACTGTTCAACATACTTATGGTTCTGAGAACTGTAAGATGGAATTTCAGATTGAAAATTATCTGGATTGAACAGGCTGACTGTTTGCATCGACTATTTACACACCGTTGATTTTTGTTATTTTTTATACAGGTCTTGGTGGTGTTATCATTGAAAAACACACATAAAGAGTACAGAACAAAGTATATATATTGACTGCGCCACAAGGGGAAGTGGGTATTTACTCATCAGTATTTCGCACACACAAGATAGAGTAAAGTAGAACTACATCACGATTGAAGTAAGTATCGGAGTGAGATTTCATAGGCTCAGTTCTGTAGAGACGAGGGGCATATTAGGAGGAGCATTTAAGCTGCAGATAAAGTTGACATGCATACTCCACTGCAGGTACTGTGCATAGACATTGGCTAGGCTGGTGTAGCATAAAAGTCAGCCTTCAACATATCAACAGGCAAGATGGCCGAGCGGTCCAAGGCGCTAGGTTCAGGTTTACCTGACCATCACAGTTCTCCGGAGCTTCCTAGTCACGCAAGTGGCGTGGGTTCGAATCCCACTCTTGTCATAACTTTTTGCAAAGATTGAACATGTTTTTTGGTTTCTGGGAGTGGATCGGGATGTGTGAAATTATGGGACGGTTAGGATATAGTGGGGCGGGATGGTACCACTTCCGGGCATGTGGTGTCGCAGTAGATAGATATCAGCCACCAATTGCTTGTCTCTCAGCAGCGTATCTTGTTTTATCTCTATTATATTATCTTTCCGGTAGATACGGTAGATAGATCAATCTGGAGCATGCTTCTCACACTGTGGTCCATAGGATCAATCAAACATCTGTAAGTAATCTAAGTCATGCAAAGGAGCCCCTGTCAGCGAGGTAGATAGTATAGCTTTCACCCCTTCAAACCGTAGGTTAAATAGACCAGTGCCCCATGCATAACCCCAGCACGGGCCCAACTTTAGGTAAATGTCTCACAGATAGTATATTTCAACGAAGATTGAATTACAAATTCCCCTCGGGTAAGACAAGACCACTTCATTATCAAGTACCTTGTCATCACTACCAGTGCCTGTGCCATTGTCCACTGAACACTCGAGTATCTAATTAGCTGCCATATTCTGAAACCCTCGTTATACTGGCCAGCTAAACATGGTAGCAGGTGTATGCGACTGGTAGTATCCCGAGTCATAGTCATATCTAGATCAGTATATACTGCGATGGCTTTGGGACCGAGCTATGTGCTAATTCGCCTGGACCGATTACAATTTGGCTCTTGGACATGAATAACCACAGATCCTGCATGACTGTCACACACATATACATACTGATTGTTGTTGCCTTTGTTTCAGGGGTATATGAATGGAGGGAGAGATCAGGATGCAGGTCTGCCACTGATGATTAGCCGTCATCCTCCGGTGAGTTATGAAGCTAGACTTACGCATTAATGCCCAGGGATTCAATATGCATTTAAATTAGTCTTGAGCCTGGCTTTAAATACACCTATCCTTCTAAGTTCACTTTGTTAGGGCTGTTGCAGACAAAAAATCCGCCTGCTTTTTTTTTTAAGGTAGTGATGCAGAGTACAAAAACTGATATACAATAACAAGGCAAGATGGCCGAGCGGTCCAAGGCGCTAGGTTCAGGTTTACCTGACCATCACAGTTCTACGGAACTTCCTAGTCACGCAAGTGGCGTGGGTTCGAATCCCACTCTTGTCATAACTTTTTGTTTTTTTGCACTCTCTTTGGCCAAGTAGATTTTTCGGTTTGATTTCACTCGGACTGAAAATCTTTCAAGAGCTTTTATGATAGACAAATTGGTGGTAAAGTTGTTGTTTACTATTGTCGACGCACTTGAGTGTTAATTGATATTCATTCTTTGTGACCTCGCCTGGTGCAACACCTAACCCCAGAATTGTTCATGTCCTCGTTACATTGAAGCAATAAAATGTCCTCAAGTTAAATCCCAACCTCCAGCCCTTATGACGGGTCCTTCAGACTCTCCGTTGCTTCTCTCGTTAGCAATAATCAACAGCCTAGCGGTGGACATCTTACCCTCTAGGTGGAATAGAACATTCGACTGGTAGTTCTTGAACATTTGCGCCACCAGCTCGACATTCATGTTCTGAACATTGACCTCCTGTACTACATTAGTATCAAGGCCAGCGTAGCCAGTAGACGAATTGTATACCTGGAGGCTTTTGTTCATGACCATTACGGACTCATTGAGTTTCTCCTAGCAGGCGTCAGTATAGCGCCAAGACTCCGAGATAACGTGCTGCATACGATATTGTTGATAATTCGCGAAAGAAGCAGGGCCTGCTGCTGTTCGTGTGGGCTCTCCTGGAGAATCTGTTAGCCGAGAATATTGAGATTTAGCCTATCGGTGGTAGTGCCTTACCATTTTTCGAGGTATGGGGTGTTGTTGGTATTGGTGATGTTTGTTGTTGCGATCCTCTAATTGATAAGGATAGTCACGTGAGAGAGAGTCAATGGGGTGCTGGGATTGATCAAGTAGTCTTCTTTTCTACCGTCGTTTCTGAGTGAAATAAAATGTATGTAAATTTTAATCCTAGGTTTACTATCAATTACTTACAAGTTGTCTAGTTTCCTGATCTTTTCCCTGGGTACTGGATTCAGACATACTGGTAGTGACAGTTTGCGCGCTTACCTGATATCGCCCCAGATTTCCGACCGGCGCCCATCACCGGACTTGAACTTAGATCTTTGGATCCCCGTCGTCCTCAAGCTCCAACGATCGATAATCAACGCCCGACCCCATATTGTACGTGAAGCTATCAAATAATATACCGTACCATCATGGCACCCACTCCCCAAGAAGCCGAAAGACACCAGGCGCTGCTAGACAGCCTAGACATCGCCCACATGCCACGTCCCTTCCGCAACCCAGCATGGCGGCCGTCCCAGCGTCGCAACAAGAACGTGAAGCAGCTCATCTCCGAAAACTCCCGCAAAGAAGCCTCCGTGATGGCGACGCAAGCCAACTCCGGCGCAACCACCCCCCTAGCGCCCACCACCGACGGGAGCCAGACCCCAGCTGAAGGCGCCGGGCGGAGTTCCAACATCGCGCAGGCCGCGCAGAACCTGTCCACGCTGGTGCTCGAGAAGAATGCGAAGGCGACTTTCCAGACCGGGCCTGCGGTTACCTACACGAACATCGAGTCGGCTCCGTCGTTGAGTGCGTCGCAGCAGAGGCGGTATTGCGACATCACGGGCTTGCCGGCTTCGTACACGGATCCGAAAACCCGCCTGCGATACCATGATAAGGAGGTGTTCGGGGTGGTGAGGACGCTGGGCCAGGGTGTGCCGGAGAGCTATCTTGAGTTGAGAGATGCTCATGTGGTGCTCAAATAAGGCAGATATTTTTGCGTGCAAGGTTATGTTTTATAAGACTGATGGGTAATAAATAGCATTGGTAAGTTACGTCGGTTGGGATTGCATGGAAACAACAGTCTGATTCGTTGAGATAGATGCTACACTCTATGGAATCTACGGAGTATGTACGACCAACACAGTCAAGCGCTTCCACCCACCTGCCCCTCTCGAGACAGGCTCAAGGAAGTGCTCCGGCTTATTCGTGATCTTATATGAGAGTCATTCTTCGCCTTGTGCCAGAGGCACGCGACTAATACCGACGCTCCACCGACAGGAACATCAGTTACAGCATCTCTGGAGATGCTGTCGCCGCGGCGGGTGTCATCGAGATGACAATTGGGTGATAGATAGTATATGATATGACATGACATAAATGAGGTTCAACGCTGCATCGTATGCCCATCCACTGGAGACCCTTTTGCATTGTAAACTGCTTCATTGTGCAGTATCAAAGTTGTGTCTTTGTATCCAGCCATGATTATGTCATGACAATGAACATATCCGTATGTGCATTAAGTGCAATCGGTAGATGGGTGGCGTCATTATTCCCAAAACAACCTGCTATCCTAGCGACAGGATAAGGATAAGGGAGGAATTTGAACCGGCCAAAGCAAATTAATAGGAGTGTGCCTTGGCAGCCAGACCGCCATCCGAAGCGGGCCTAGCGTCGCCTAATCGCAAAAAGGGAACGTGGCAGAATCGACACCGCACGCCGCAGCCGGAATGGATTAAAGAGTCGCCTGCTTGTTTATTCGCTTCGTTTGGGTTTGTTTGGCCTTTTTTGTGTTGATTTGACAAACTGCACACCTGATCAGAAGCTAGCGATTATTTTGCCTGAGCTTGCTAATACGTCTGCTGTCATTGTTGCGTGGACCCCGTTGCATGACACGTTCCCTATTGAGAAGCCGCTACCTTTGATCGTCGTTCGGCACAGCCTCGGAGCTACGACAGATCTCTCGAGCCTCGACGCTGTTGACATCTCATCTGGAGACCTCAATTCTGTCTACACAAATACTTTGAAACCGTGCTACTATGCCAACCATGTGGTTAACCGACAATCAGAGTAAGTCTTTCCTCCCGTCGCACCGTCAGGTCGCTAGCACATGCGCAGCAAACACAGGACTAATCGCGACATCTACAGAGATCGGTGTCATCTTTTGCTCCGCGGGTAGGTGATGTAGTCCGGAGATCAGCATAGCAAACCAGGAGCAGTACAAACGACTGACGGCGAATTGCACAGGGGGTATATTCCTCTGCGGAGGAGTGGTGATGTTCTTCGACCGGTCAATGTACGTTTGACCTCCCCCTTTCCAGCGCATCAAATGCAAGCAACCAGATCGCTAACGCGCGTCTCCTCCCACAGGCTCGCAATGGGAAACGTACGCTCCACCGACCCAAAGAACCCCTCGTAGATAGATCTCCCACTAACCCAACGCCAGATCCTCTTCCTCATCGGCCTGACCCTCATAATCGGCGTCGAAAAGACCTTCGCCTTCTTCTCGCGCCGCCAGAAACTCAAAGGCACAGCCGCCTTCGTCTTCGGAATCCTCCTCATCCTCTTCCGCTGGCCGCTCACGGGCTTCCTAATCGAGCTGTACGGCCTGTTCATCCTCTTCGGCGATTTCCTGACTACGATCGGCCAGTTTGCGGGGAACATCCCCGTTGTGGGGCCCTATATCCAGCGCACGTTGGAGATCTTGGCTGGCGGGAGGAGTAACGCTGAGCTGCCTGTATAGTTCTGGAATCTAGTTTCTCGTATCTTTCACTGCAGAGCTTAGGGTGTTTCTTTTTGGATCATGAGATTCCGCGGATGAATTTATGTGTGTATATGACTATGCGAGCTTTGTTGTTATATGTCGGTTCTCGACTGGCTGTATTCCCGGTCCTAAATGGTTCGTTTGATTGACTGATTGCTGGATTGGTTGCTTGCATGGCCCGGTGTACGATGGTGCGTGCATTAATTGCCTGTCTAAGCGTGAGACAGGCTGGGACGGGATAAACGTGGTATAATATGCTTCCAGATATAGAATTTGTAATTACTAATGATCGTATATGTTTATACGAACCGATCTTCACTATATCCATTCTTGGACCTACTTTTCAACTCTACTAGAACCGATAAGCGTTGGTCTTACATCGAGTCCGGTTTCACGAAGACTAGGCGTTTCACTCTTGCTATACCCACCCAACCCTGCTAAGGTAGATAGAATAACATCTCTCAATGCCACCGAAGGAAGCCAAATCTCAGTCCAACACGCGCACCATCCCCACCTTGACCTTCTTCAACCACCACCAAGAATCTATCCTCCCCAGCCGAAGCACGAGCCGCCAACAAAGCGTCAGACACCATCCGCGGGGCAAGCTTCAACAGACCTCCGCCTGTCAAATTCCCATCTCTAGGCCTGATAGTTAAATACGGAGCCTCACAGGCGCACGGACCCAGCATTTGGTCTACGAGCGGTTGAAAGGCGTAGTACCTGTTCCGGAGGTGCTGGGGTGGACGGAAGCTGAGGAGCAGATATTTATTTACATGGCTTTGGTAGAGGGTGAGACGCTGGAGCGGAAATGGGGTGGTTTGAGTGAAGGGGAGAGAGGAGGGTGTTAGTAGAGAGCTCAATGGCATGGTCAAGGCCTGGAGGGCTTTGAAATATCCTGATCGGGGTCTTTATGTGGATAAGTGATTTGAATCCACTGCAGGGAGAACCACGTACATATGCTGAATCACACCAGGAAGTCTGCACAATCAACCGCTGAATGACATCTTCCTCCACGATCACCAAAACCTAGCCGGACCCTTCCACGGCGCCAACGCCATCCAGGAGTTCCACGACGGCTGCGACATCGAGATCGACGGGCAGAGTTTGCCCGTGGTTTTCACACACGCCGACCTCGCACCCCCCCAATATCATTCTATCGTCGGGACCGAACCCAACGGTAGCTGCTGTCATTGACTGGGGCCAGGCGGGGTGGTATCCTGCTTACTGGGGGTATTGCAAGGCGAGGCGGGTCAGGCCGAGTCCGGAGTATTTCGACGACGACCTGGATGAAGAATGGAATGCGAAGTACTTGCCGAGTATTGGGGATCCGGTTGGTGAGGAGAGTGTGTATCATCCTTGGTTGTGGTTTGTTTTGTCTTAAGGATTATTTGTGGTAGATGGGGGATATAGCTTATGGTTCTTTTATGTATATTCTGGCTTTTGGGTCATGGGCATGTATGGTCGTGGTAATCTCAACCAGGATGGATATGTTTATTAAGTACGGAGTATGAATGTGGTAGATCCGCTCCAGGGTGTATTGTGCCCATCTTGTAGTCTGCCTCGGGCAATGGTCATTCATCACGTTTGCTCTTTGCGCTGTTTACCTACAGTATATATTTCGATTTGTCTCTGCGTGGTTTTTTTTATTAGATTCTATCCTTAGATGATATTACCAAATCTCACAAAAGTCCAAGTAGTTAATAATGTCATGGTTGCTTCTTATTGCACATATCTACGGGTTATGATAGGACACCAGATGAAAATGGAAAGGAAAAAATAAAAGGAAATCGGACAGGAAGAAAGAGAAGAGAAAGGAGACCGCCGTCGTGTTTTGTTTCAGTTAAACCGATATTGGCGCATCTAATCTCACCCCCGATGCAGATCACGTCGCGTATTCTACTGCATCTATTTACCGCCCCGGATGTAGTCGCCGAGGTTCTCGACAACGGTGGCGGCGTTGGGGGTCTGTACGCTCTCGCCGTGGTGGGCGACGAGGATGGCCGAGGGGGTCTTGACGATGATGACACCCTCCTTGCCCTGCGGGTAATTTTCCGTTAGCTCCGTGTTATATTCGTATTGCCATGATTTTCGTTGTTATTGTCTCGAAACCGTTATGGCGTGATAAGTTGTGTGCATACCTTCTTTCCGTATACGGAGGTGCCGTCGGACCGGATGACGACGAACTTGTCTCCAGCGAGAGTGACACCGGTGCCAAAAGCGCCGGCGGGGTTGTCATAGGCGCCCTTGAGGCCGCTGAGCTCCGAAGGGGAGAACTGTGGAGAGTTAACAGCGGTCGTGGGGAGGGGGCGCGGTTGGCGGGACAGCTTGCGTCGGAACCCGGGGAGAGGTGGGGGATTTCCAGGATTCATACCGTGTAACCAGGGGTGGAAGCCTCCACGTCGGAGAAGTCGTAGCTGACAATGGCGGCCTTGTCAAACTGACCGGATCCCATCAAGCTGGATGATCGAGTAATTAGAAGATGTGCGATCGGGGGTGGCTATGGAGGGGCGCGAATGGCGGAAGCGGGGTACGGGTAGTATTAGGGGAGCTGGGTCAGACGGTACCTGGAATCGACATAGCCTGGAGGGGGGAAAAGAGAGCATGTTAGCATATACTTGGATCCAGAAGGTCGATCTCATATCAGACCGTCAAGTAGGACAGGGGAGAAGGGCAGTACCTTGCCAAACAGCAGAGTGCTGACCCATGATGACGGATGAGGGTAAACAACGGGTAGATTGAAATAGGGGGATGAGAGGAGAGGTGGAGGGGGAGGGGGAAAGTAATGACAGGAAACTCTTTTAGAGTAATTAAATAGGGTCGGAGAAGAGCGACTGGAGGAGAAAAGGTGGTGTGGAGGAAGAGGGGAAGAAAGAGAGAGAGAGAGAGATTGGGAGAGAGAGAGAGAGAGAGTAGGAGGTAACTAAGGTGGGGTGTTGTTCTCTCTCTCTACTCGCTCTCCGACCAGCACCGCCAAAACCTCCAGTTGCCCCGCCAAAAAGTCATGTATCATCAATATCAGTCTCCTTATTGCGTCGCCGATTCTTTCCCATCACATCGGTTGGGTTATTCTTATTGATCCTATTTGATTAACATATAATATATATAATCCTTCCATATCCCTCACCAGATAATCATCCTCAAATCAAATTGTTATGCTGGTTAACGCATTCTACTCCATCTCCGTATCATGACAAAGTTAAGAGAAGCGGTGGAGAGTCAACAGTGTTGAACTCCCTATCTTCTCTTTCTATCTAGGTATTATTGATTTTTTCCTTTTTAGCCAAAGCCCACTAGACAATCGATGCTCCACTCAGCTGGATTTCTTTACCGCCTGTTTGACTGTCTCTCTCTCTATACCCGATCTAGATGAAGATTATGATCTGATTATGAAGAATAATGATCCGGATGACTATTCAGCATTAGGATTCCCTCTGCTGCCTGAAACACCAGGCAGGACTGTCAGGTGGTTGACCCTCCCGACGCTTGTCCGTTTGCGGCAAATCCGCTTCTTCAATTCAATTAAATCGATTCTCTTTCGATTTCCTCTCCATCCTTCTCCCGGATCGTGTGGAGGTCGTTTCATCGGATGATTCTTCCCATCACGTATATACCATGCCTATCCTGGAACGCAGATCATTTCCAGTCCACGGTCCCGGTTCAGCCGCAACCCCGACCTCGAGATGTGGAGGAGATGATGTCGTTGGACAGGGGAGAAACCAAAAGAAACCAACACGTGCTCTGACCCTGAACCGGGCGCCTAATGGCGTGAGTATCTAAAGAAGACATGGTCGTTGAAGGTGTGGGGTGGATTGATGATTCGTGATTTGGGTTCTGGGCACAGAGCACCAAATACGATGCCAACCCATCAACACGATTGCTCACAGACCACGAGGCCCGACCCTGAAGGATAATTGATATCTCGAGTTGCACGGAACAGGGGTCAAGTCCCGTTGGGTGCGACCCTGATGGTTGACGACTGGGTTCCCATCGGGGTTTCGATGGATTCCTGAGCGAGGCCGTCCCATCTTCGATCATTGGTCGGTCTGGCCCGGTTTCAGGGTGGGTGAAACTAATTAATCCAAATATCCCAGCCCTGATACCGTTCTAATCCTTGGTCTGGCCACTGGCGGGACCCTTTCTTGGCCCCGTCAGGACCGTCACCCATGGCTTGAAAGTCAGGTCAAAATTAATCATTCCGCGACGCTGGATGTTCATTTGCAGCCGCCGAAATAAGCATCTCGCCTGAGTTTCTATAGCGCTGACTCGACGCCTCCTCAGCCGACTCGCGATTACTCCAATCGCTGGGTATGATGCTTGCTCCCAGCGTTTGCGATCCGCGGGTTTGGTCTCAAGGCTTCTGGGCGGCGGCAACAATTTATAACCCGCCTTCTCTGTTGGTTGTCTTGCGCCTCGTGAAATCTACATTAATCTAAAAAGAAAATCCTGCACTAGGCGACCCCTGTTCCTGTCTCAACTAGATACAATATCTTGCGACTGATGCTCCACACTATTTGTCGCATGGGTGGCCCCTTTTAAATGTAGTGGTTTTCCTTTCTCTTGTCATGCGTGCATGACTCTTGTTCTTGCTTTGATTTTGGGTTTTTGACTTTTTTTTTGATTTTTTTTTCTTTTTAATTGCTCTGAATCAGCCGTCTTTTGAGCCTTCTGGAAGGCTGTCCGTTCTCTTTGGCTTGCTGGTAAATCTATGATAGAGTCTATTCGCCCGTCGGCGTCTTCCTTTCTTTCTGACCCCCTCTTTTGATCCAATTTGATTCCATTTCTTCCTCTTCCCCGCAAGAGTCGCTTTATCCCGAAAAATCCCTATCCCCAGATCGCGAATATCCCCCGTTTGAATTGCATAGAAATGGCGAGGGGGATGTTTCTGGGAAAGCCGCGTCCGTCGCCGGTGACGGATGATATCTCGAGCCCTGTCTTCAACTATACAGACGCCTTCCCCCGCAATGATCTTCGAGAGGTCAGACATGGAGCCAAAAATGGCCGACCTGTGCACCAGAAACAGTGGGATTTCCACCGCCCTATGACATCGGACGGGCAGCAACAACAGAAGAAGGCTCGAGCACCCGGTCAGGACTTTGATTTCCGGATTAATATCCCTGCCCCGGAGGCGGCGTCCACCGAGCCCGACAAAAGATTGAACGACAGCATGATCGGAATCGCGCTGGGTAGCCCTCGACTGGTGGAGTCGCAGAATATCATGTCGCAAATGCAGGAAAAGGCCATACAAGCCAAATCGACCTCCAAACAGCAAGCAATGCAGCGGAAACCAAGCAAGTGGAGGAAGATTGGGGGGTTATTCAGGGCAAAGACTGCAATGACACCTGCGAAGCAACCTTTCTACCAGGTCCGCCTCAGCACTGAATGGCCTTCCCAGGGCTCTACTCACTCGATTGACTACCAGTTCCGCCCGAACGAGTCCAAGTCCCATATCCAATGTGCCCTTGAGACCAACCCCATCTCGAACACCGAGGTCTGGCCATGCTTGGCCAGCGGTCAAGCGCAGCAGAATGATGGTGGACAAAGCCTACGGCCGGGTGCGAAACAAGCTGGAGACACGGAGTCTTTGCTTACAGTAGACATCCCAGACGTTCAGATGGAGCGGTACAGCGTCATGTTTAGCGGTCTCCTGACCCGTGAACCATCTACGCGCAAGAGGCGTAGCAAGACGTTGGAAGATGTGAGGCCTGCCAACACTGTGGTACAGTATCTGACCCTTGAAAACCCGACCCATATTAAAACGTCATTAGGAGCGCTCCATCTCCCCAGAACTACGTCCTCCTCCCCGACGACAGACGACTGAAGCGGCCCGATCCCGCTCCAAATCTCCCAGTTTCTCTCTTTTCCCATCCGTTCAACCCAACCGATCATCGAAAGTCCCGGGATCCACCCTCCCCCGCGAACCCAGCCCTTTACACAGAAGCCAGTCATCGCTCTTAGAGTCGTATCGAGAAAATCCACCGATCCAACCAAGGCAGCCCTCGCCCACACCGCGCAGTTCACCCCAGAAGGTCCCTGTTTCTCACAAACCACAATTTTCGGAATCGTCAATCCTCACATTTACATCCCTGGAGGAAGCCGACGACAAGATTATCCTCCAGGGTGTCAAGCCTGTGCAAAACACCAAAGACGAACCCGCATGGGAGTTTGTAAACAAGAACCCAACACCAGCAACTAAGCAGGAAATTGGCGCTACGCTCAAAGTCAATACACAAGAGCTGCCCCCCCCAGAGTCCGAGGACATCAACTCCGCCGCGTCGTCGCCCATCCTCTCCCCTCTCTCAAGCGTCACCGCCAACTTGACGACCTCCCCGTCCGGAGGCTCCAAGACAGGCATCTCCCCATCCGTGGCCTTCAAGCCCGCTATCTCCCCATCCGTGGCCTCAAAGCCCACCATCTCCCCATCCGTGGCCTCCAACCCAGGCATCTCGCCAGCCGGCTCAGCCCGAATGCCCCTCGCCGACGACAACGACAGCGACAACGAAGACCCCGAAGTAGACTTCGACCTCGACAAAGACACGGAAGCGCTAAAGCCCGAGCAGCTGCCCATCCCTACAGTGGAAGTCTCCATCGCCCGATCGGTGTCCGTCTCCCGGGGCAAAAAGCAGATCATAGTACCTATCGGCCCGCGCGCCGATCGTCTCAACCCAGATGAGAGATTGGTTGACCGCAAGGCCCGCATGGTTCGAGTGACTGATGGGCAACATGGACACCGCCATGGGAATTCCCAGGATGTGCGAATTGAGATGGCGTGACCAGCCTTGTTCATTCATTCTTTTATTCATTTTATATCTTTCTTCTTCATTCTTTGGTTCATTTTCCTGCGCGGAGAGAAGACAACGACTAGATGTCGTCCTGCCCCCCCACTTTTTTTTGGAATATCTTTTAATACCAGCGCTGGTAGCTAGCTATTCATTCGTCTTGTTGTTGACGACGTCGATCTTTGTCCGCATTGCGATCATTCCTTTCTTTTTTCTTTCTTTTGCCTTCTTTCCATTATTTATATTCTTTCTCTCTTTTTCTCTCTCGCACAGTCTCTATATTTACTTTTACTATGTTCATGGTCTAACTTAACGACGGTGGCTATCTCATTCACTATGCTATCTATCCATCCATCTATCTATCTTCTGAGTAGCTAGTAGCTCTACCGTAATCTTCCGAGAAAAAAAACCAAAAGCAGACTATCCAACTCATAAACACCATTCCTAACACACCCAATCAATCTATCTACCAGTCCTGAATCCATCCAAGCAATAACAACACAAACCACACACCATCGACTCAAATACCTGTAAACAACTCCCACCCTCTACCTCTACCCTAATAATAATCACTTCTTCTCAGGAAACCCCTCCTCATCAACAACCATCTGCTTAGCACCACCCACCTCCACACCAACATTTTCCATACTCCACTCCATCCCGGGGTAGGAATCACTCAAGACCCTAACATTCACGCCCAGCCGACCAGACCCACACGCCGCAACAACAGCCTCGGGGAATTTGACAGTCGAGCGGACTGTTAGACCTGCACCAGCAGTCTTGTTATTTCTCCGACTGGGGCCAGGCCCCGCGGTAATAGCAGCGCGATTGTTGTTATTACGCCTAGAAGAAGGCCACGAGACGCGCTTGAGAGCGAGGAGGTCTCCGTCTGAGGCGTCGGCGTTGGCGATACAGACGAGGAGGAAGAAGCCTTCTGTTTGCGGTTTTGGGAAGCGGGGCGCGTAGATGCGGTTGTCCGGGTTGAGGGGGGCGTTGTGGCGGGTGAGGGAGACTGTGAGGCCTTTGGGCGTGGTGGTTGGGATGGAGAGGGTGAGGCGGGGGAGGTGGGATGTTGCTTTTTGGAACTGGGTTGTTGTTTGGGGTGGGAGGTGGAGTGTGTTTTGGATGAGGGAGGAGAGGGTGGGTTGGGGAAGGGTGGTGAGGGCGAGGAGGGTTGTTGGGAGGGGAGATTTGGATTTCTGGGTAGGAGGGGATGAGGTGTTGAGGGTGGGGGGGATGCCGGGGAGGATGGAGAGGGGGTTGTCGTCGGGCCAGCGGGCGGATTTGATGCACTGCAGGAGGGTGATGAGCTTGTGGCAGGCTTGGTGGTAGCCCAGTTCGGCCATGACGTCGATGGAGGCTTGCAGGATGCGGATGCCCTGGTCGAGGACGGAGGTCTGGTCGCCGACGTAGTCGGAGATGGGGAGGTCGATGCGCGACATGTATGCCTGGAGGAGGAGGAAGGCTTTGACGTGGGGATCCCACATGGGGAGGTCGCCCATGGGTTCCACGGAGAGGGGCAGGTTCTGGGCTAGTTCGGCGTTGATGAGGTCCTCGTTGTGGCGGACGGGGAGCTCGTCGAACTCGGTGGCGGAGCACATCCAGCTGAGCACTTCGTGGAAGGTCGGGTCTGGTTTGGCGTGCGCCATTAGGTACCGGATTGTCTTGTGGGACAGGTAGTAGTAGCTCATGATTTTGCCGACGGGGGTGGAGTCCACTTCGCCGGTGGCGGAGTCGAAGCTGACGCAGGATGATTCGGCCAGTTCGCCGAGGGACTTGTCGACTAGGTCGATCATGAAGTCCTGGGCGATTGACTGCGCGGCGATGGTGTTGTGCTCTTCGGCGGAGATCTCCAGGCCGTAGTACGAGGGGTTCTTGTGCAGCCGGCGGAAGAAGAACGTCCATGTGAGATAATCGAGGGCGTCCTGTTTGGTTGCGATCGTTCCTGCGGAGACTTCGGCACCCAAATGGTTGTCGAGGACTTTGTGGAGCGTCGACTCGACCGGGAACCCGGTATGCAAGAAATGCTTGTAGAACGCCTTCTTGGAATCCTGCGTGAAAATGCGCGCAATACCAGACGTGTCGAACTGAGGACGTCCCGCACGACCCAGCATCTGCAGCACATCGGTCAAGTCCATGTCTCGATAGCCTTCAATCTTCGCGTCGAAGAACTGCGTTCCCTTGACCACGACAAGGTGCGCCGGAAGATTGACTCCCCACGCCAGAGTACTAGTGGCCACAAGGATCTGGATCTTGTTGTTTGCGAAGAGCTCCTCCGCCAGCTGCCTGTCGGATTCCACCAGACCAGCATGGTGCAGTCCAATCCCGAAGCTCAGCGCTTCCCGTAGCGCCTCGTCCTTGACCCGCGCAAGGTTAAGCTCGAGGTCCTCTTCTGACATGCGGACAAACCGACGGGGGTTATCTTCCATGCCGCAGTAATTGATCAGGTCCTTGGCAGTCAGCCGGGTCTGCCTACGCGAGGCGACGAAAACAATCACAGGCTTCTCAGGAGAGTGGCTCTTGATGGCGAGGAAAGTGGGCCTGTTCATAGACTGCATGAGAGGGCAGAAGCCACGCTGCTCAGGGAACCCATCAATGAAGATCTCCAGCGGCACAGGACGCACAGAATGGCGGAAGTTGAACAGCCCCTCCTTCACGCCCAGCCAATTTGCCAGATCCGACGCATTCGCACACGCAGTGGACATGCCCATCAGCCGCACCGACCCCTTGGACTGCGAAGCGATGTAGTTCATACGAGACACGATGATCTCCAGGATAGGCCCTCGATCACCACCCAGCAGGTGGATCTCATCAATGATCACTAGGCTGACCTTGCGGACGTAGTCTCTGGTCTGCCAGCTACGCGAGATACCGTCCCACTTTTCAGGAGTCGTGATGATGATGTCCGCGTCGCGGATGGTACGGGTGTCGGGCGTGTTGTCACCTGTCAACTCGACCAGCTTCAGACCCATGGGGATTGTAAGTCGCTTCTTCCAGTCTTGCACTCGCTCGCGCACGAGCGCCTTCATCGGCGCAATGTAAACCACCTTCGATCCTGGGTTCTCGCGGAAAGCCCACCACATTGCTAACTCGGCGGCCACAGTCTTTCCACTTCCTGTGGGAGAACCAAGCAGGACGTTGGCTGGGGTGTGGTACAGCAGATGGAAGATCTGCGACTGCATCGGGTTGAAGAACTGGAAGCGCTGGCTGTAGAGCTCTTCAAGAATGGGGTTCTTCAGAGCGGACACAGGAAGGGGCTGCAGATTGAGGAGGTCCGTGTAGACGCTTTCCGTGTCCGGGCGGATGAGATGCTGGAACGACACGGGGGTCACCGTTTCCGCACCGAGCCATCGGTCAGAAATCGCACGCACGTAGATCTGACTGGGCAGGGGATCCGATAGGGGAATTGTAAAGTTCAGCTCGTGGTCGTCATGGAGCTTCTTCCGGCTCAAGATGAAATACTCGTGGTGGTAGATCTCCGACGTCTCGGAGTTTTCCACCCAGATCCAGTAAGATTCCGAGGCGCCGTGGTGCCTATCATTCCAAATAAATTCGGGGTAGAGACACAGGCGGATACGGAGAACATCGCGGTTCAAAGGAGCGATTTCTGCCTCAATGCTAAGTGTAGGGAAATTGTCCAGTAGTTTAGACAACGTCCTCCCCATCTTCTGATTGTGAACGAGCTGTCCAAGTTCCGCAGGTTCCATGTCCCTCATCGACTCCAGGGATGACGACGGGAGTCTTTCGTCCAAATTACGAAGAATCGGCTGGGGAAGGTCAAACTGATGGAACGGGTGGTCGAAAGGCCAGATCTGCTTCTCGATGGATTTGCAAAGCGACAAGAGCACTTGGCACTGATAGCCCCATCGGCGGTTCAAAGCGATCATGAACAGAGAGCGGCATATACGGGCAGCATTCTGAGCGACGTAACCCGAGTCAGACATCAACGCGAAATCCTCGATCCTGGCTCGCGAGATGTAAGATTGAAGGAGAATGTTGGTCTTCGCGTGGGGCGAATCGTTCCCTCCCTCCACTTCCGTCTGGATCGCCTCGTCTCGCAGTCTGTTCAGTTCCTTGGATTCACTTTCCCGGGCTTGGATGTTGTCGAATTCACCACTCATACTGATCATCCTGAGGACGTCTGCCTCGCCCGCGCGAGGACGCATCATCGTGTTGAAGATCTCAACGCTGGTCTGAAGGACGTAGAACTGGCTCGCTATCCGGCCTACGTCTTTCGCGCGAAGTTCCTCGGTCTTGTCGTTGAAGATGATCATCTGGCTCTTCTGCAACACCAACGCAGCCTGAATGATCAACTGGCGACGCCTTTGCACCAGCATAGGGTCATCACGAATCTCCGCATAGTCGATGCCGTAATTGCGAGGCTCACGCAACATGCGCACGAAGAGATACGAATATCCCAGCCACTGCACCGCTTCCGGAACAGAGGTGACAGTGCCAAGGGAGATCTCAGCGTTCAGATTATCCACAAGACGACTGGAGAAACGAGATTCGATCGGTTGCTGAGAGGTCACTGCAGAAAGATAATGCTGCAGTTTGTCGTGCGTGGTGCAAATAAATCCAATGCCCGTATCTTGGAACTGAGGACGACCGGCACGACCGAAGATCTGCAAGACGTCGAGAATGCCGAGGTCGACGAATTTACCCTCCTGAGGGTTGTATAGTTGAGTTCCTTTGATGATGACTGCAGCGGCAGGAAGGTTGACACCCCATGCAAGAGTGGCCGTACAGCACAGCACTTTGATCAAGCCCTGGGAGAACAAGCGCTCCATCAAGTTGCGATCGCTTCGACTCATGCCGGCATGATGCGTGCCGAAACCGCTCGCGAATAGTTCACGCAACTCTCGGGCACGCGCATGCTTCATATCCTTAAGAGCGGAAGAGTAGTCTTCATGATCCACGCAGCTGAACAGGCTCTCACAGCCATCCTCAACGGCCATTTCGCGCAGCATCCGGGCAGTGTTCATAGTATCCTTCCGAGAGTGTACGAATACCATGATCTGATGCCCTTCCTCAAGCATAGCCCGAGCCTTCTCAAACGTCGTCAGATCAAGGTTATCGCGAGATGTCTTAGAACCAGGCTTTCCTTTGACGCCGATAAAGTGCTGCTCCAGAGGTACGGGACGGAACGACCCATCGAAATAGAACAGCCCAGCCATCCTATTCACCTTGAGGAAATCGGCAACATCGACATAATTCGGCAGAGTGGCAGACAGACCGACGATCCGGATAAGCGACTGGGAACTTTCAACCTGGCGCTGAGTGCGGGCCACCAGCGACTCGATAACCGCACCACGCTCATCGTGGAGCATGTGCACCTCATCGATAATCAACAAGCGCACCTTCTGCACGAGTTCGGTGTCCCCGGTACTTTTGCGGGTCACGACATCCCATTTCTCAGGGGTCGTCACGATGATCTGCGTTTCGACGATCTCTCGCTTGGTGAGCTGCATATCACCCGTCAGCTCACGGACTTGGATTCCAAGCCACGCAAGACGTTTGCCAAGCTTCTCCGTAACTTCGGCAGCCAGGGCCTTCATCGGCGCGACATAGACGATTTTGAAGTCGTCGACCTGGACGGCAAACTCCGTCGCCTCCGGCTGCTCCACAGGATTAGGAACGGTGTTCTTGCCAATGGCGTTCAAGATAGTCAGCATCGCAGCGTCCGTCTTACCGGCACCCGTAGGGGCACAGATCAGCATGTTTTCGCTCGTCCTGTACGCCACATCATACAAAAGACTCTGCATCCGGTTGAGAGACTTGTAGCCCTTGAAGGTCCCCTGGCACAAACCATCCAGAGACGCGATATCCACCAATTTCTGATGTGCCGCTAGCGTGCCGACCTTCGCCGCCGGGATCTCAAACTCCGTATACCTCTGCTCATCAATCTGCCTACTACCCAGCGGGAGCCCATATTTCTTCCCACCAAGCGCCAGCATATTCCTCGAATCATGCGATTTGAAAACATGCGGGTACTGCGGTTCGCGACGCGCCTGCTCCGGCATCAGGGCCGCATTCTTGTGTTCGAAGTCCTGCTGGCGCAGCGCGTGCTCCCGCTCCGCCCTCGTCTGCAGCCTCCCCGCAGCCAGTCCATCCGTCTGGGCCTGCAGGCCCGCGCCCGCGCCGGCACTCAGACTCCCCAAAATCTCCGTGCGGTGAGCGATCAGCTCGATGACGAAGTCAAGATCGTCGAAGCCGACGATTTCCGCCAGTGACATCTGCAGCTCGTCGTCGCCGCTGTCTGTAGCCAGCGTGGCCGTGATCTGCTGCGCGAGCTCCGCGGTGTCCATGCCCGGTTTCTGGGCCGTGAGGGTCTGGCATCGCTGCAGCAGCCAAGTCTGGTCGTACTGCGCGGCCGGGGGGGATGGTAGATCATCGACGGATAGGAGGTCCTCGTTGGACTCGTCGTCGGAGCTGATGATGTCCCAGATGTCGTCCACTGTGCCGGAGGAGGAATAGTCCTCGTCGAGGTCGAGCTCTAGGTCGCTGCCGTAACCCAGTTGGCGGTCTGCTGCGGGGTCTTTGGGGAGTTTGAGGTCTGCGATGGCTTGACGCATGGCTTCTAGCTGGGCCAGCCATTGCGATTCGACAGTATCGGTGCCGTTCATATTGTCTGAATGAAGGAGTGCCCGATTGAAAAGACTGAATGAGGGGACCGAACGAGGGGACTCAGTGGGGGAATGATGAAGATGGGTCAGATTATCGGGGACCCGTCTAGGCATAGTAGGCAGAATAACTCCGGTGCTGACCGCCGTGCCTGAGGCCAAAGTGGTCTGTGCGTTCCTGTCATTGATGGTCCCGAGGTTCATCTCTTCCAGGTCTTTACTACCTCCATCCGGGGATGTGGTCGAGAATATAATGGTGTCTGCTTCCATATTGCTCAGTATGGGGGTATCTAATACTGGGATACTACACAGTGACATAAAACAGCAATAACAACACGTATGCCATCAAGAGCTACTCAGATATTGCAGCCACATCGCGAACCAAGAAACAGACAGATCAGTATAGGTCATGCCTACGCAAGAGATATACGCCAATTCGTGGAGTCTAAATCAGTAATGCTCTGGCTCATATTACTGTTCAGAGTCTACAAGTAGATTGGAATTGGCATGCTCAGACCTATCACGAGTGAACGCGTATTTGAGGACCGAATGTGAGGACCGATGCCATTGATCCTGATATTGCTTGTAGGAATAAGGGAGGTAATGCACTATCCGAGGCGGGTGTATACTTACTTAGATATAGTAAGTAAGTAGGTAGGTAGGTGCTAGGTATAGACTATGCACTGAATGATCATCAACCATGGTAATCATATCTTCATAATAGCATCTAACTCGAGTCCTAGGCCAAACACCGAGACCACAGTAATAACCATCCAGATCTGGTATCTGGTGTTCTGTTTTTGCTTGACCCGACTGTTTCTGCCGTGTAACTGTCTCTTTCCTGCAAACAAAGCAACAGGATATGCACATGCATCTACATATGCTGGGAAGATAAGAATGAACACCGGTAGACACTGGCGCGGTCAGTCAAGTAACAGAAATGCAATCTGATCGATCTCAGTCCGTCAGAGGGGGTGTCAAAAGAGGGAATCAAAACGAGAATTCAAGTCAAAGGGAAGGCGAAAGGGAAAAGAAAAGGAAGAATGAAGCAAATCAACAACACCTCCCCTTCGGCTTCACAATCTCCACTTCCTCTCCCCCCTCATCCCCCACACTACTCGGTGGAAACCCCAACCAAGTACGTCTCTTATCCGCATACCCCAGCCTAAAGCTCCCATGCCCATCGCTCGTCCCGCCCCCAACCCCGTGGGTGAGATGCCCACCCCACCCCGTAGACCCATCCGCACCACCACTCGCCGAGCCCAAGGACCCCGCAGCAGAACCACCACCACCAGCACCAGAACCCATATCCCTCCGATATCTCTGCTGCTCGACCAGCTTGCGCGTAATAACCCGGAAGACCTCCTCGATGCCCTCTCCATCCTTGGCACTAATCTCATGGCAACAATCCCACCCGATATCCTGGCCCCAAAAGCCACTACTCCGCTTACTGTCCCCGCCGCCAGTGCCAGCACTACCCATCATACCCAACGAGGCGCTCGACGAGAAGACGCCGGCCGATGGAGGCGGGGTCGACGCGCGCGACGGATATAGCTGGTCCGCGACGTAAGCGATCGTGCGCTCAAACGGCACACGACGACAGGCGGGGTCAAGTGCGACGATATCCGACTTCGTACCGACAACATGGATGACGAGCGGGGCGCCGCCGTCGCTGTCGTCGAGATTCCGCTTCAGCTCGACCAGCCAGCCGGTCATCTCCTGGAAGCTCTGCTCGTTGGTGATATCGTAGCATAGCAGGCATGCGTTTGCGCCGCGGTAGTAGAGTCGCGAGATGCTGCGGAAGCGCTCCTGGCCGGCGGTGTCCCAGATCTGGAGACGGACCAGGGTGTCGGAGGCGCTGTCGAGGACGCGCTTGGTGATGAAGGAGGCGCCGACGGTGGAGGGAGTTGTGGTTGGGGTGAAGGCGTTCTTGACGTAGCGGTGGACGAGGGAGGTTTTTCCGACGCCTGTTTTGGGGAGAAGAAGATTGTTTATTTATTTGTTGTGGTCAATGGGGGATTGTCAGTAGCGGTGGTTTGATCTGGGGTTTAATAGAAGTGGGATAGGGGAAAGGGGATATAACGAAGGGAAATGCGAGAGTAAAGGTGGAAATACCCTGTGCGCCGAGAACCACTATCTTTGCTTCTAGAGAGGAACTCATGGTGGGGTCGATGCGATCGCGCGTGGAGTTGGCATGTCCGTGATGGCGTAGGAGAGATTAGGGACTGATTAGGATGTAGGAGTCTTGCACAAAAAAGTCCTCCGAAGAGACAGAGAAGTTCAAGATGAAGTCAAGAAGTCGGAAGTAGAAATAGAAGCGAGAGAAGTGAAGATAAAGAAGGATCTCTAAGCATAGTAGAAGATGAAGATGAATGGAGTGATCAGATCAGCCGATCAAGATGATGACTGTTCCGTATCCAATTAGCCTGTTTTCTTCTTTCTTCTGTCGACGCTTTGTTCTTGTCTTTGTTCTTGTCCTGACCGTGGTTTGATTGTGGTCTAAGCCAGTCTGAGCCACAGACAGTGACAACGATCCAAAACAATAACAAAACAGGAAGAATGATAGATGGATGGATCCGGTGTCCCTTACATGATACATCTCACCAGCGGATGAATCTGGTGGCGCTCCCCCGCACGGGAAGAAATTCACATCCGATCTGATTGATCCACGCTGTCCGTCTATCTATCCTCGGCTGGAGACAGGGTTAATGAGACTACGGAGTACTAGGCTACTGTACAACAACTGCGGCACGGGAATTATTTCCGTACGTTAGCTTGAATATAAAAGAGAAGCGACGCGATGGTAGTACCAGATCCCTCACTGTGAACATGGGTGGTGTAGTGGCTCAGCCACAGCCTACCTGCCAAGGTAGAGGAACATGCCAAATGCCCCGTGTTGTCGTGATGGGTGAAGGGGGTGACATCACGCTATCGCTCTCCATGTCTCCATACCGATACCGCGCCCCAGAGGACGATCCCTTGGATGACCCACTTCAACACGATGCCGTGCATAAGATCGGTGGAGTCACTACAGACTACAGTGTCAACGTCAATTGAAAGATACAGTCAAACTACGATTGAAAAGCAGTAAGGTAATCAGACTCTTGGTCTATCTAATGGTACCGGCCGTTCCTCGAAGACACAGCCATCATAAACATACAAGCTCTTGCCGCTGGGCAAGTTCAGTTCAATATCCGATCCACGGACCAGATTCAGGGGTAGTCGCATAAATATCAAAAAGATATGAAGAAAAAAGACATAAGATCCAAGGAAATGGGAATAAGAAAGAAAAAAAGGATAGGAAAAGAGAAAAAAAAATCACAAAAGGGGAATCTATCCAGCAGTTTGCGCCAGATTCGGGTCAACCTGAACGATTCAAATGACCAAGGACACCAACCAAAAATCCAGGCGCAAAGAAGGAAGAGGGATAGGAGGTAAAAAGGATAATGTACGGAAAGAAAGCCGTCGTCCTGTACAAGCCACCGAGGGAAGCCCGGACACTCAGCATTGTTTCAGCCAGTCCGGACTTCCCACGTTCTCACAACCCAATCTGTGCAACATCTGCTCACGATCTTTTGTTTTTTTTTTGAGTTTGATCGATTTATTCGGAGTTCTCCTTGTGGCTTCCCTCGGGGGAGAATTCGGTGGCCTGGCCCTTCTCCGCCTCGGCGGGGGCGTCGGTACCGAAGCCGTACTCGGCGGCCTTCTGCTCGACCTCCTCATCGGTGAGCTTGGGCAGCTCGTGCGAGGCCTTGACGTAGCTGATGTTCTCAGTGAAGCCCTTGGCGAAGATGAGATCGATCTCCTCCAGACTGCGGTTGGCGGTCTCGGGGTAGAAGAACCAGATCACGGGGATGAACAGGGCGTTCAGGACGGCGAAGAACAGGTAAGTACCCCAGCCAGCACCGCCAACCATGGGGGGCGTGAACATGACAACCGTGAAGTTGAACAGCCAGTTAGAGCAGGTGGAGACAGCGTTGGCCTTGGCACGGGTCTTGATGGGCGACAGCTCAGCGGGGTACAACCAGGGGAGAGGCAACCAGGTGGCACCGAAGGTGGCCATGTACAGGAAGAGACCGAACACGGCACCCTTGGAGATCTGGGGGTCGTCGGGGATCAGACAGGCGAAGGTGATGATCATGGCGATGGTCTGCAGGTACGAGCCACCCAGGAATAGCTTGCGGCGACCGATCCTCTCAATGAAGAACCACGAGAAGGTAGCGAAGACGGCGTACACAATCATGTTGATACCACCGATGAGCAGAGCCTCGTCGTTGGACTGGTGCAGGGAGCTCTTCAGCAGGACGGGCAAGTAGTAAATGACAGCGTTGCAACCAGACAGCTGCTGGAAGATCTGGGACGAGGAACCGACAAGCATGCGGCGGAAGTGCTGAGAGCGACCACCGGTGCAGAGGTCGCGGTAGCGGGTCTTGTCGCCGGCACCGGAACTATTGTATCGTTAGTCACGTTGTTTTGACGCTGGCAGAAAGGAATGAGAAGACATACGCCTTGAGGGAGTCAATGACCAGGTTCTTCTGCACCTGGGTCTCGTGGTCGTGGATCTCGTAACCGCCCAGGGCAGCCAGCACGTACTCACCCTCCTCGACGCGGCCCTTGGAGATCAGGAAGCGAGGAGAATCCGGCAGGAAGAACATTCCGACGATGATGATAACACCGAAGACGATCTGGAAGGCGATGGGGAAACGCCAGACCAGGTCGGGCGGGCCGTAGTGGGCACCGAAGTCAATCCAGTAGGCGATCATTGTACCGATGGCAATGACACCACCCTCGATACAGATCAACAGGCCACGGTTGCTGGTCTTGGAGCACTCGGCCTGGTAGGTGGGGATGGTCGAGGTGTTCATGCCGTTACCGATACCAGTGATGACACGGCCGATGAAGAACTGCAGCAGGGGGATGTGGTCAACGAACGCGGTGACCTGGATAATCACACCGACGATCATGACAATGGCGCCGGAGAAGATCATCCAGCGACGACCGGTCGAGTCACCGAAGAAGAGGGCGAACATGGCACCCGCCAGACATCCCAATTCGTACACGGCCGTCACCAAGGCCTGCATGACCATGTCGCCCCTGGTGGCTGTGAAGACATCGTTGAACGCCTTGTCACTGATGATACCGGACATGACACCCTCTGCGCGGGCGGGTTAGCATCGAGCGTTTCCCTCCTGTTGGGGTCCAGTCCACTTACGGTCATAACCGAAGAGCAAGAAACCCATAGTAGCCACGGTGGAGATCGTCAACCCCAGAGGGCGACCACTCAGGCCAGCAAAGTTGGGGGCCATGGTGTGTGTTCAAAGGAAGAAAGGGTTTGGTCAAGAAGGCGTCAATCGGGAGGTCGTTGGAGGTGAGACCCTATGCTTCCTTTATTCCTTGAGGCTTGTCTCAAACAACCAAAGCAAAGAACAGGACAAGGGGGTGACAGAGAAGAGAAAAAGATCCAACGCGGAGATTGAATGTTGGGGGTGGGAAAGGGGGGTAATTAGTACTTCGGCCTCTTGTGGGCACAAACACCCGCCTGACATAGATAGGGCAATCGGGGTGACCATCCTTTGCGAACAAATCTCCAAAAAAACCCCATGCTGCCACTCCACCAATTTCCAACTGAGAACTTCTCATAGTTGACCGTACCATTGTTTGGTTTTGTGGGGCCAGCCACCGGATGCATCAATAACGCTGAGTTAAGCATTACTTTGGCTCGGTTCGTCAGACCCACCTGGATGTGGATCGTTTTTGGAATGACATCACACAGGCCTGCGGACGACAAGTAATATTCCATACAGATTATCAATTATTTTTTTTTCTTTTTTATAAAAAAAAAAAAAATCATAATATATGGCGGAAAGAAAAAAGGGGAGACCCGCAGCAAGGGTTATGCTGGAGGCCATCATTGGGCGAGTATGGACTCTCTCGACCAGCGTTGATGCGCTCGGCCTCTCAGAGCGCCCCTGCATGGCTTATTGTAATTGCCAAATTCTCATCATTATTACCCTTTTTTCCCTCCAGCACCGAGGCAGAATGCGAGCCGAGTTCCACTCATCTGTTCCCGTCAGGCACTCTCATTCCTCGAGGGGTGGCAGCCGACTTGCATCTTCCATAAGCATTGGGTGTATGAATGTGAAAGATTGTTGGCTCTTGCCGACAACGTGGAACTGAGCCAGGCCGAGGACGAACTCCACCAACCATTCATTCCATCGTGGAGGCAACTCAAGCGAGGAGGGGTGGTTTCCACGGGGTAAGGAGACAGGTCTTCTCCTTCGCTCTCAGTCAGCCCTCTCTCGGTCTAATCCCCAGGTCTCGTTTCTCCGTATCCTTTTCTCCATATGTTCCAGGGATAGAGGAAGGCTAATTTCCACCCCCCCTTGTTATCCCAAAATATATGAATGCGGGTTGAAATCCCTGGGTTCGAAATCTCCCGTACCTAGGAAATTCCTCCAACCTCGTCGTCATTTTTGTTTCAATCTCTTATTTGTTTTCGCTACTGTCGCGTGACCGTTTCCCATTCCACTATAGATACGGTTTGTTTTGTTTTCATTCTATGGTTGTTGTCTTCGAGTTGCACTGTAGACTTGGCAACGTTGAGGGAAAGCGGGTTGCGATTCGGCATCCCTTTCGGGAAGCCGTTCCCGCACAGGTACCTCTCCAGTACGGCGAGGAGAGGGACCGGTATCATGGATGAATTTGCGAACGTAGTTCCCGACCGCAACCTAGCGTCATCATTGGCGAAGCTATTTTGTATACTTTGGGTCCAACCATGACCTGTCCACATTGATATCGACCAACTTCAAATCATACTGGATGGAATTGGGATAAGTTATGCTGGGTCGGTGGTGGTGGCCAGAGAGTGGATGACGAGTGATTCGACGATGGAGGTCCAAAGAGGCGTGGTTGAATCTCCACCGCTAGAGTCGACCGGCGCTTTTGTCTTTCCTGGTCCATTTTTTATCCATTATTTATTTTAATTAGGTTATTTTCATTGCTTGTTTGTTTGTTTATTTTGGTTAATGTATTTTTTTCTTATTTTCTTTCATTTTTATTACTCTTGTTTTATTATACTTTTTATTCATCATATTTGAATTTATTAATCCTTCCATTTTTCTCTCCTTCTTCTGTGGATCCATTCCTTCCAATCCTTCTCTGTACCAAACGTTGTCAGATGAGCGATAAAAAAATAATCTTGCATAGGAAGGAAGCGCCAATAAGTGATATTCGCTTGCGCCCGATAAACCACGCAACACAGTGGATGGGGGGGGTATTATCTTAGGTAGAGTAAAGCAAAGATCATCTATGGCCGAAAGTGGTCAGGATAGTTGTTAGTTTACTCCAGCAGGTTTTTTTGTTGCTGCTCCCCCTTGTGCGAATAACGATTAACACTGAACAGTGCCCCCCTCCCCTGGTCCACCGGCATTGACACTAAGACAATCTAGATAATGCTCGCCAATCTAGCTGTGGTAGTCATGTGTCATATAACATAGAAGCCTAGGAAATTATAATATTCATCATATAGAGGGTATATACCAACAATCTGGCCAGGCAACATGGGTCCCTGCCAAGGACTGTACCATCGATATCAGAAAAACGAAGACCAAAAAAAACTACGTCAGTGAAGGAATCTAAATCCTTCTCTTTCTTCTTCTTCCTTCTCTAAAATCCTCTTTATTCAATTCCCTCCAATCAAGCACCCCCGCCAAGCGCCAAGCACACCAAGACATGGAAGATCAGAAAGAAGCACTAGCAAGCTCAGGGATGGCATCCTTGGTGTGCGAACAAGACTTTGACAAGCCTTCTTGGTACAGAGCCACCCAGTGGATAACAGGTGGAGAAACCGGTTTCCGTATTCAGGCGGCGCCGGAGATCCCGGTGGAGTCGCGCGCAACGCAACATGGCCACCTGAAAGTCTGCACCGTCGTGGGCCAATGATTAGTGCGTCCGGCTCCCTGCCGGGCTCCACTGAGTGCCACCGAACGCGCACGATGCCCTGATGATTGGCGGTCTACCGCTGGGTCAGGCCAGGTCTCTTTTTTTTTTCTTTCTTTCTTTGGAGTCTTTGACCCATCTTTCACATGGGGCCATCTTAATCTCCTCATGTCAGAGGCAGAGAAAAGACGTATCTACCTGTATGTCGTATGCTATAGAGGGTCCGTCGGATGAGGCGGATGCCTTGGAAGCGAATAATAGACGGCACCGGGCGAGCTTGCTGGGTCGGCTTCATCTACCTCGAGTAGATCTAGCCTTGGTTCGTGCTGTCGCAAGCATGAGGGTTTTTCTTTCGTTCCATCTGTCGTCTATTTTCCTTTTTTTTTCTCACTTTTTTAAATGGATTACCCACAACCAATTAGAATCAAACAAAAGAAAACTCAGCCAAAACCTTCCCGTCCACACCAGATAGAGATCCCATCTGCACGATGATGTCCGTCGCCATCTGACAGTAGACCGCGCCACTTGGTGTCTCGTGAGGGGTTTTTATTTTTTGCCTCAGCATTGAAAAGATCGAGACGTCATTAGCATAGCATGATCCAACGTCAGCGTTCCAGCGGGGTACGCATTGCCACTACCACTACCACTGTCACCGTCGCGTGCACCGTCGTCGTCCGTGCGGTTGATGTCTCTGTATGTCCGGACTTAAGGTGGATCAAACATCCGAAACACATCCGAGATCGTCCATGCACAAAAACCCTCACGCGGCATAAGCAGAAACTTTGACCGACGTAATGGTGTGCGCCCCGTAAGCCGTAAAGCGTCTGAGCGGTAAAACTAAAGCACCAAGGTCGAAAGTGGAAATGGTAATCCACCTACGGAGTAGTTACTTACCTGAGGATCAAAGGCCAAGGCCAAGGTCAACGGCAACGGGCAACGGGCAACAGACAACGATGACGGCGACGGTCGGCGACGGTCGGCGGCCGGATTCGACATGGAGAAACCTCGGGGCCCAAGCCGAGGCAAGGACGGCCGTGAAAGCCGGGCCGAACGATGACGGAGTCGGCCAACAGATCAAGAAGCCGAAAATGTTTCGCAGCCGACGTCTTGGCTTACCAGTCCCTGCAAGTTGCCATTGGCTGCTGGGATTTTCGGCCGGGGACCTAATCCACGCTTCTGGAATGCCGACCCGCACGCAGCGTCTGGCCTAAGGCAAGCCAAGGTAAGCTAAGGCCGCGACGGGGCTTACTGGTCGAATGGTTTCGCTTAACATGGGAATGGTGATGAAATGATTTTGCTCTTTTTAGAGCGGGGATTGGCCGAATGGGTTTCTCTAGACGAGTTGTTTTGTGGGAACGTATAAGGTAGACGAGTTTAACGGTCATGCCCAATTGTCGGTGTTTCAGTTGGTCGTCCTTGGTTGCGCACCGGTGTGTGCGAGTTGACTAACTGTAAGTGGTTATAGCTCGCTAGGTCGGTTCGAGGAAGTGATGTCAGTCAGTTTGGCAGATGGCAGTTAGTGGAGGTAGATGGAGGGTTAGAGCAAGAGTATAAGTTACTGCAGATGAAACGACAGGAGCTGTCAGAACAACCATGACTTTGACGAGTCTTTATAACCTGAGAGGTAGCCGCCTCAGGGGCAGGCTGACGAGCGACCGGCACACCGGTGTCTTAAAATAAACTGTGTAAATCGGCCCGAGGGTGCCGAATCGGCCTGGCTTGCCGACCAACGAAGGACGGAGACGGTCATGTATAGCGATAAGAGAACAGGATAAGGGTTTCCACTAAGCTGGAAACAAGACGGCGTGGCAGACTAACATCAATCTAAGATCATCTTCTTAGATCGTCAGCCTGATGGTTGGATATCACTGGATTGATGCATGCAAGATAAGAGATAAGAGATAAGAAGAGCTTCATTATTCACTGTCACCTATCACAAGCCATTGTGAGGCCTGGAGTACTTGCTATTAAAGCGTCGAGGGACGATTTAGGCCTTTTTAGTATGATTTCTCTACAGGTGCCCTTCCAGGTATTCTGGGTCCAAACCGGTTCCTACGCGTAGATCAGAACGCCATAGCCCGTATGACGACAGTCATCGGCCCAACACGTCAAGCCAATTGCGTGTGTCGCTGGAGCATGTGCTGTTCGAGTATCTACGATGTGGTGTATCATAGCTACCCCTGGTTGCCTGGGTCAACGGCACGTTGTGTCTCAGAGAATATCATCTGTGCTGGACTGCTGGTAAGGCTGACTGTCTCGTAAGCGGCATGATGTTGCTTAGCACGAGTGAGTATCATATACTATGATGATTCGGTTATCTTGTTTGTAGATCCCGTGTACGGGCCCCGTGGGCCGACGGTCTTACATATACAGTATCCTCCCATCTTGACTGTCAATCACCTCCATGACATATCCACTGATCTTTTTTTGTGTGTTTTAAACGAGAGTCACTACAAAACCCTAGTAATAATCAGTCAACTATAACATTGTATCAAGGGATCATTTAAATCATAGTCTCTCCTACTACGTACATTCAGTCCAGTCCACTACCCATGGAACTCGAATGTACATAACTTACCAATAGGAGAGACATAACATTGTTAACAGCTCATACTCCAAAAACGATTTGATAAAGAAACCAACAATTAGGCATCTCCATTCAGTTAAACCTTGGCATGTTTCTCACCACCCGTGTCTCAGACTCTGGAGTCGCATCCAGCCCAACCAGGCAACCCGCGATCGAAACCATCCGATGCCTTGCAGCCTCACCACGCAGGCAGTCAAAAAGATCACAACAACAGTGGATTAGATAATTATATTAATCATAATCATAATCATAATAATGGTAAAAATAATAATAGAACCCTAGAATGCAACCATGTTTCTAAAATGAATCCAGTGCATTCCACCCCCTCGGCATTGTTGCCCTTTGAGCAAAGGGGCCACTTCATTCCAGATGCATGCAGAAGAACCTTTTCTTTTGGGGTGGGACAAAACAAGGGAGTATATATGCATGCACTATCCATGCAAAGTATGCATCCCGGCAAGTCCGATCCAGCCCGCCCTCTGCCGCTCTGCCTGAGACTTCTTATTTCTCATCGTGCATAGCTGGGGTGTCACAGGAATCTTACTCCATCGGTCCCCTAAATGATAAATACAATTACTCTTATTCAATCTACTGGATCCGTTGTCTCTGACACTGGGCGGGATTTCCTACCTGAGATAGACATAAAGCAAGGGCTAGACCGTTATCGACCACTGGAAACGTCCCTGCGATATACCTTATATGGACCAGCCCGGCCAGCCAGCCTTATCATTTCTTTCTCCCTTCATTAGATGATTTACCCGTCCACCTATCTGATTTATGATCTTGATTCTCGAACCATTCCTTGCTCTTGTCTCTTTCTTATTAAACACTTTTTCAATAATGTCCTTGCCCCGTGGTATGCCCCTTGCTTTGCTTTGCTGTTCATTCGGTGTTGATTTCTACGTCCATGACAGGTACTACCGAACACCTGTCACAGTAGGATTCATGACCGAGTATTTTGTACTCTGTAGTGGACCGTGATTATGAGCTGCCGTACTATTGGTTCCAGACGAACGTGAACTTTCGATGTATCTTGAAGTGTAAGGGACCGGTCACTAATACTCCAGGTCTATCGCTCGTTTCTTCGAAAGGAGAAGAGAAGAGAATGGAATAGACATATCCTTCCTACAAGTCACCGCGGGCGAATCCAACAATCGCAGCAAAGCAGCAACAGCAACAGCAATAACGCGACTTGCCAATACAATGCACAATATCATACTCCTCGCCTGACCATTCTCGCGCTCCCTCAAACAGATCCGTTCCCCGACTCCCTACCCATCCGCCCGAATTAGACAAGACGCCGCCGCTGCCCGTCGCAAGGGAATCATTTCTCAGTCTCGATAATGACTCCCAAAACGGAACGCAGCAACAGACAAAACAACCAGCCAGCCACTTTGTCCGTTCGTTTAGCGCCTCTCCTGAGCTCAGTTTGTCTCCCTCGGTGCCCACAACAATATCCCTCAAACCCATTGCCGAATCCGCTCTCTCTCGGGCAGGAGCGCAGACAGCGTCGCCGGAGAGACAGCGCAAACAAAAGGGGGGTGCCAAGTGATAACATACGGTTGTAGTTCATCCCGACACTCAGTCTGTCTGTCAGTCGAACACTCGACGTGTGGCCCAAAAAGGCATCTCACAGGTGCCCGTCGCATTGTGCGCTGCGCCCCATAGTCCCAGCGTAGAGATGCAGGACGCCCAGCCGATATTTGTGATGATGGTTCGGATGAACTGGGTAGCTGTGCAATCGAGGGCTAGGTATGTGTCTGTCTACCCGTGCACACTCCTGTATAACTATATCGGTGATTCAGTAATATTATTCATAGAAGCGAAACTATATCCAATAAGTAACGTGACCACTTTACCTAAATAGATAGGTAAGTAGTAAGTAGCTAAGCTACCACCGAGCAGTGCCAGAAGAAAACAACTTGTGCAGTGCAGTTTACAACAAGGGCTATTCTCCTTTGTAGAATGAAGTTGAGCTTCTAGGCCGTTGGAAAGCCCGTGTCTGTCTGGCTTGGTTTGCGTTGTGGGATGCAGCCAGAAAGGGAAGATCTGTTTCTATTCACACTGTAGTGAAGAGCGAAGGGTGTGTCTAAATGCTATGTGTCAAGGTCCAGAGCAACGGTGAGTATATTATTGGGGATAGCATGGAGTATATAAGTAGGTAGGTAGCTGTCAGGGTGATGTGGTTGTGGTGTAGGGCTAGCTGCTCAGAGTGAACGGTCAGTTTGCTCTCGCTGTGGGTACTGGTGGAGACGACCTAGCTAACTCCATACGCGACTCTCCAAACCTAAGGTGTCTGTTTACTTATTTGGTACCAAAGTAGTGTTTGTTCACTTTCAATTAATCTATAGATAGATCTAGTCTATAGCTCATGTGTAGTAGCTCATCACCAGTCGATGGGCCGGCCAGGGTCGACGTTGGCAGAAGTATATGGTATAGATGGTGTCCATGAGGCAAGCAAATACTACCTCGGTAGAAATATGTACAGAGTGCCTCAGTATGTATATTGTACCTCGGCACTGCCCGAGTCGCCGAGTTGCCAGTGTTGCTTGTTTGGCACGTGCCTCGATCGTGTAGTTCCGGAGGACAGCCTGGCTATCCAGGCTCGGCCTTCCAAATTATTCCACCATGTTTCCCCCGAGGTGACGCCAACCCGCGCTGTTCGCTTTGTCTGCCTTTCGGATCTCTTGAATTGGGATGGTTGGACGAAGGTGACTGGGTGGGGATGGGGGAAGTGTACTAGATGCGCGGGCGCGATCGCGGGTTCTGGACGTGGTGGTGTGACGGCGAAGGTTGGATCTCGGCTATGGTAGTGACGTATGCGTAGTCTATCATGGGTATATCGTAACTCGTGGCGTTATTATGTACAGACGGGTGAGATTATGACTCGTCGTCGGAGCCAGGAGCTTTGTTCCAAGTCTCCGAATAGACACTTCCGGAAGTGCATGCAGTCCGATTGCTCAGCTCGAGGCGCTTGTCTGGCGGACATGAATTATGCCGATCGGTTGTCTGCGTGGGCATCTGACTTCCACCGATCGGGTGGCGAGGGCGGTGGGATGGGTCTTCGTATGGTCGTTGGTTGTTCGACCCCAATGTAGGCGGGAAGGACCCTCTCGTGAACGGCACTTTCGCCGTAGTATATATAAATCCAAACTATTGACAGTCCTCATCGCATGGCATCGACATCGAGATCCTCGATCGGAGTCTGGCGCGGTTTGGAGCCGGAGCTTTCCGACAGAGGGCCCGGCGACAGCGGATGGGGCGGCAGAGGGTTGGTTTGGCCGAAAGGATTGGTGAGTTTGGTAGCATCGACAAAGGAAGGGTAACGGCCGGTGCCCCCGTTGAACTGCGAGCGCCAGACGTGCTGGTGGGCCAGCCTGACCAGCCGGCCTAGCACGGCAATTTCCAACTTCAATTTGATACTGTATAGGGTGGCTTTGAGGGTGGTTTGGTATGAGTACAAGCCTATGAATTCGATGACCATCAGCGCGATATCCATGAGGATACAGAGCAGGTTGACGGCGAACAGCTGGCGGATGGTCTTGCGGTTGACGCGGTCGGGATTGTGCTGCATCATTCGGTTGGTCTCCCACATGTAGATGCCGGACAGGATGACTTCTTGGACGCAGAACCCGCACAGTTGGATCTTCTCCATGTCCTCGTACCCTTTTTTCGACGCTCCGGAGGGGCGCAGGTTGTCCAGGAAGGTGAGGACGGTGGTCGGCACGTGGAAAAGGAAAGCGTTGACGATGATCATGTTGCGCAGGATGCGCAGCAGTCGCGCATTCTGGAGGATCAAGTGGAGGCGGGAGTAGAGCACGAAGGACTGGCCGGTCACCATCGTCCACCATCCGATGGTCAGCAGGGTGACGGGCAGCCAGGTGGCGTCGGTGAGTTTGAAGAATTTCATGAGATAGCCGACCGAGTAGGGGCAGACGCCCAGGGTAGAAATCAGCATGCTCCAGAAGTACATTCCATTGTATCGCTTGAAGGTGAGGAAGATCAGGTTGACGAGCTCGACCACGTTGTACCACGCGACGCCCACGAAAACGGCCATGGCGAGGTGGGCCCCATTATGGAGCGGTCCTTCAGGTTCCATGGCAAAACGATGTTGGCTCAAAGCATGGTGTTACAGCTTGATCTCTGTACGTATCACGGAGGGATGCGAAAGATGATTGTTGATATTATCGGGGTGAGGGTGAAGGGTGAGAACAATAGGATTGTTCAGTTGGATATGATCAATAGCGGGATAGGCGTGAATAATTATAGATAGATAGACAAGTCAAGTAAAAGAAAGGGGGAAAACCGAAAACTTCCCACCAAAAACGGCGGGAAGAAGTGCTATTAAGAGGGGAAAGAAGGTGTTAGTTAAACTGTGCCGATTAAGAGAAGACGATATTGAATGAAATTTGCACTTCGGCAAGGGATGGCAAAGCGATGATATTAATCATATTCTAGTACGGGGCAAGAGGGGTACGCTTGGGCCCTACTTGAACCAACTGGGTTAGTCATCCACTAACTACCTGGAATTAACTAGGAGGGCGAACTAATGCTTATGCCACCTTTGCAACAACCTGGGAGATCGTCGAATTGGTCATTTCCTTGACTCACGGGTGGGATACTGTCGTTACTCGTTGGTTGGAAATTTGTTTAGGCTGGAGAGATACGAGGCTGAACCGTCTCACACTTCACATACTGAATCGCATGGTTCAAGATGGTGGCAACCGGCTAGCCTTCCCACTGCTCACCATGGGTCAGCATCCAACAAACCATCAATCAATCAGTACTGATTCGAATCCTTCGCTGTTGCGTTCAAGGATTTGACTGCGGACTTGGCATAGTAGACCAAGGTACGTAGGAAGTCAACCAAGTTAAATAGTCAAGGCAACAACGAGTAGCCTCACTACCGGACCTCCTTGCAGTCCGTGCAATCTCATGCACCGTCCCCCACGTCACTCATTCCCCATATCTCGACCAGCGATCGAGGTCGATACCTATCACAAATCACAAGGGGATTGACTCCGTGTAGACTCAACATTTCGACGGTCTGGTAAAGACAGACTAAAGATCTGCGACCCTCGCTTAGGGCGGCAATGACGCAACGCCCAGCGTCACAAGATCCATCTCCAGACAGTTCATATCTCGGATATCTTTCCAAACATCCTCTGGGGCGTTCAAGTGGGGATAAGCTACTCGCTAGCATCACTGCAGTGGACCGTTTAAAGGTGTTGTAAAAAGCTTGAGGGCAATGGCTTTTCGAGTAGGTCGCCCGCCGGGGCGCTTACCCCCGGGAATAGAATAAGATCAGGCTGAGTTTCGACTTTCTACATCTGGAAAGAATACTCGGACGGGCGTAATATGGTGTCCCTGTATGTGCCCAAGATGACATTTTTAGTGCATGGCACCCACGCGGATGCCGTCCCACATGTAATGGGGCCTGCACAGCCCCAACTGCATATTTACATCCGTTCAAAATCCAGATCCTGAATCGGACACATGACTTGGTGTATAATCGTGTGCGTTATTCTGTTGTGGATATTAATTGAACAAGATTGAGAGAACTTTTGAGGGTTAAAATGACCATAGATGGTTAGCATGTATGGAGTAGTGGACGACACATAGACTACACATTTGGATATATATATAATTTTCTTTCCCGTGAAGTAAGCCCAGCACCATATGAAATGATCAAGAACATATACAACCCAACATTCAAGCGATCTCATATAATTCAAATTGAATATTCATGAAACAAAGAGTCAAAGACACCAGATATAATGGCGATCTGAACGATTCGATAACCCACACTGCTCTGGACCGACTAAACCTGGACGGGGCAGCTATACTCCATCCGTCGCCACATTGATTCTCAAGTGGAGCCATCAACAAACAAACAGTTCAAAGAAAAATTTCCCTCGACTGAAGAAAGAAAAACGGCAGTCATCTCATGTTGCTGGTCCGTCCACAATGTCTGGGTTCTCAACACAAAAAGACGACGATCGGATCTAGGTGAAGAAGTTCTCATCGACCGATCCATCACGTGGGGGTGGGGATCGCTCTTACATTCCACAATCCACAATGCAGGAGGAATGGGGAAATGCTGAACAACTCAATCGGTTTTGAACGGGGGAAAAAGATTTCTGATGGGTTTGTCTAGCCTAGTCTAGACTGCGATGGACGTTAATCAAGGGCTCCAGAATGGGATGGATATATCTCTCTATATAAACTCCTAGATACATCATACACCAGAATATTTATCGACCTGGGAATAGATTTAAAAATGTCTCCCTTTCAATGAATCTAAAATTAAGCCTCATAAAAATGAAAAAAAAAGAAGAAGAAGAAGAAGAAGAAGAAGAAGAAGAAGAAGAAGAAGAAGAAGAAGAAGAAGAAGAAGAAGAAGAAGAAGAAGAAGAAGAAGAAGAA